TTGGCATCTTTTGGAGTTCCAGCAGAATTCAAGGATTGCTACCAGGATTGCGAGCGCCAGGCCGCACAGCAGCACGACGAAAACACCGCCTGGAATGACAAAACCGAAAGCTCATTATTTTAATGCCGGCGGGCCCGCTCTACCTCTAATTTCATCGAGCGAGACGCGCAACCCCGTTGGCAGGCAAGACGGGGCGTGTTTGTCCTCCATCTCGGGGCTCCCTTTTTCCCACAGCCCTTCTTTGTGGCGCTAGTTTGTCAGAGAGCAAAGGGAAGAAAAAAAGTAGTACGGCGAAGAGAAAAAAGTTCGCGGTGGCGGCCGCGGAGAATCGTGCGCGCAATATCTAAGCGAGACGGGCACTCTCAGATCGATCCCGCTGCACTTTTTGGTCTGTTTCATGGGGAAAGTTCGCGATAGAGTATCCGCAAGTAACGACCGCGAGTGAGGCGTGCGTGGAAACGTATATACTGATAAATGGCGAAGTGTTTGTATTTATTGCGATGCGGGAGTCGTGCGAAAACAGTGAACTCGGACGGTGAACTATTTACGCTCGATGAAGAAAAGTCTAGCGCCCGGACGGAAACAAAGGGATGGAAAGTATGCGGAAGTTCAAAGAGCGCTCTGCATTCGAAATTAAAGGCGGTTTCTAGAAGGATCCCGCAGGATTTTTCGTAATGCTGAAACTTTCCGGCAAGAATCGCGCGTTGATACGTCGGTGAGTTTGTACGCTGCTATGTTCTTCTTTTCTTATTATTTTACATGCAATACATTCGCATGAAGCATAATAATCAATGTAAAACTACTCGAAATTAGTAATTTAATGCAAAACATAGAATGTGTACACAAAGTTCGAGCAAATTAACTCCGCAGTAAACACTTCAGTATGTGAGTTAGGAATATTGAAAGTTGCCGATATTCCTTTTCTCATGATCAAAAAGTGAGTTTTCAGTTCACGAAAATACGGTGCGCAAAGTTCTGCTTCACGCAGTCAGCGAGTTCGTCTTCGGCGAAGTTTTCGATCTCTTGCTCCCTCGTATCGATTTAACAACGAGAAGTTAACGCACTAATCGCAGTTATGCAACTACATAAGTATAACAATTTTAGCGCAGTTGTTCCTCCACTTAAATCTTTAAGAAGCTACAATACTTTTACAAATAAATTATATGATGTTCCAGCGACTTCAAATTTACATAAGTCAAAAAGTTTAAAGTGAGGAAATCAAAGTGCGATAAAACATTCATGAAATACACTTATGTCGGCAAACATTTTTTTTTTATCCCTGCGAAAAACTTTCAGTTATATATCTCAAGCCGAGAGGAAGAATGGAGAACAAAGTATGGAGGGTGCGGGCACTTTCGAGCGGGCTAAAAAGTGTCCACTTATCGTTGACGGAGAGACAACTGAGCCGGGATCCCGCGGGATGCAAGGTAGATTTGCATAACTACAGCGTCGTGATTTATGACGACGGTCCGGACGTCTCGCCGGAAAGACGAAAGTTTCTCGCACGGGCGCCACGGTATCGCCGTGGCTTCGCGCCTATTTCGCGATATCAAGAGCCGAGGGTGGGCGAGGTCGCGACATTGTGCGCCTACAGGCCGATTCAAGTTTCGCGGGAGGAAGTTCTCCGCTCGCCGAATTGCAGGATATACGCCCAAGTTTCCACGTAGGACGGCGGACTGTCGCGAAACACTTGGCACGAACCGGAGGAATTCTCCGGAACTCGTCGTTCTTGGAGAGACTCCCGCTAATCTGGAAATTCGCGGAGTTTGCGGCGCCCCGAGACAAATGAGCAAAGAGAATGCAAGGTCGCGCAAGGCAGATGTTAAGTGGATCGGAGCGAATCCTCGATGTTTATTTTAACTTTAACGCCACTGCGACAAGCTCGTCAATTTACGGCACGGTCCAATGAATGTACAATGCTGGGAAATATACGTCCGTCAGATATATAAAACGGCACCGTATCGTGAAACATATATAACACCGCGTTTTTTTTTTTTTACACAGCTTAAATCGGTGAACTTTAATCGTATTTCATTTAATCCTTTGTTTATTTCTAGTTCCACTTTTAGATCAACGTAAAGAATCCGCAGTTTATCTAATTTTTTTGTTCCTTTTTAGTTCTAGTTCTAAAAAGACAAAACACAAACTGAAGTTGAAGTAACTATCGCTGGCAAAACTTGATTAGTAGTAGTTCTTTGTTCCGAGTTTCTTGTTTTATCCTTTCATTTAATCTCATTTATTAGCATTATTAAAATTCACAATAAACATTAACGTTAATTACCAAGTCTGATATTGTAAATCATTAGATTACAAAATTACCGTAAATTAGATTCGCAGAATTATGCAAATAATTTTCATTTAAAATAATCACAAAACTTTCACATAACTGACACTCTGAGACAGGAAGATATCTCTAAAACTCTTCAAAGAAATATAAGAAAGCCAATTTATATTTTATATCTCTGTCTCGATTGCTTACCGTGAAGGAGCTTTTCTCTCCAGATTACTTATTCTTATAAAAGAACGTAATAGAGGTCAACCCGCGGCGATCGTTCATTTTCTACGGCAAATAATCGAGACATTGGAAAGAAAGGAGATTAGCAATTCAACTGTAATTTCGCGAGATTTTCGCGCCACACCGGCTGAGACAGTTCGTTCTTCTTTCTGTCTCGTCGAGTACATTTACACCGTCAGCAAAGTGGATACTTATCCAAGTTACAGACGACAGAGAAACGACGGAGAGGAAAGGGAGGCAAAGTAGGTAGCCCGAGAGTTTCCGCGAAACGGGGAGAAAAAAAAAGGAGAACACGAGCCAGAGCACGAAGAGAGAGAGAAGGAACTTGTTGTGACTTCCATAAAAATCCGGAAGCGGTTTCCGAAGAGTCCTAAGAAAAATTTTGTCCGCGAACTTTGCGCAAGATTCCGCCGCGCTTGAAAGCTCTTTTCTTCGACTCTGTTTCCTTCGCATTCGATCGAATCGCTCTTTCGTACAGTAACAAATTAACTTTTCCGGCGTTGATCGAAACTCTAATGTTCGCATTCGATCTTTCCGTAAAGATTTCGTCGATATTTATTTTGGTATCCGCGTAATGTATCTAACTGCAGAAAGATTTCTTGTAGACATCCTTTGCAAGTAGAAAAAGGTTTTTGTATACTTAAATAAAAAAAAAGACAATCAAGATAAGTCTATAATTTATCATGATATTTTACGCGAAAGATGCGTTCAACATGCGATGATTTATATTCCATTACTTTTTTCTATAAATATTAACTCAATTGCATATTCGTGAATTTTTGTTTTACAGTCTGTTTTTCTTGCACTCATAATTTTCATCGCGTTACAACGAGATGTTTGTTCATAACTCTTTCAATGTTGCGTGTGTGATTCGTAAAACAAGTGGAATATCTCACAGTTTGGGACTGAAACTTAAACAGGCGTGCCAGACACATGGCTACTGAAACACGACCCTTTCGTCAGCGCATATACTGTCGTTAATGGAATATGCCGCAACAGTGGTCGAGATTTACAACCCGCAAATGTAACTTATAGATCAACTTACCACCATCCAAATTTGTTAGGTCATTGATGAGCGAAATACAATTTTACTATCTTGTTTCGCCAATGTACCATTGAGTATGTACATTCGCGTGCGTGCGCGCACATATTGGCAACCTCAATTAAACTCAATAACTTAATTGATTGAGCAGCCATTGCGAGCATCATGAAAGGACTGTTCGAGGCAATCATTTTCGGTATTCAATTCAGTGGGGTTTAATCAATCCATAGTACTTTAATATGTTACTACGTTATGCAATCCGCCACTAGAAATATCTCAAATTATTGACTCTTTGAAACAATTTCGTGATTTCGTTACATTTTAATTTAGACAGCTTGGTGTAAATATTCTCAAACGCGATTAAATAAATTTTCTCCCAAATAAACGTAACTGGATAAATTGTACATTTATTTCTGTTAGCTGCTTCAATGTATTTGTTATTTGTAGTTTTAATTCAATTTCGATGAAAGAATGTAATTTGATAAACTCACCGATATTTTCGACTCCGAGAGCATTGGCCTTGCTCTCCTTATTCTTGTCGTCTCTATTGCACACATCGCCCGTGTTCTTCCACCATTTATCGTAGAGAATCTGTATTACACCTTTTTCCTGCAGCTCGAGAATAGCTAGAGATATTTTATCCCTCCAGGGCGAGCCTGCATATAAAAAGCCTTCGTTAGACAGGTCAAGGATTTCGCAATTTCTTTTTCAGTGGCCGAACGTAACTTTAGCCTTGCATTTCAGCTTCGAGCATGTAAAATATATGATCAAATTTCGCATATATGGCGTTCCAAAAATTCTGAACATTTTTTCCACTCCGAGGAAAGCGTATAATTCTTCTGGTATAATGTAATTAGTTAACTATACAAACTACTTTACATGGAAGCAGCACACTTTTCTTGGGCTATGTTGTTCTATGCCGGCTAATGAAGCCGATTTTTCCTTAGCAGAAATTTAATTTGACACCAGCTGTTTCAAAGACTTCGTAACTTTTAATGTTAAGTATGTCGGTAATTAAATTTCAAATTAAAAAAAATTTCGTTCGGGCTTTATTCATATTTACCTTTCGGCGTAGCGATTCCGTATCCTTTGCTGTCCAGTAGACCGCCTATTTGCGTTAGATTGCAATCGCGTTGAACCGCATAATCGAGCATAGTGGACTCCATTAAAAATGCATAATCGCCTTCCAGAACCCTTTTTATTCCTTCTTCGTAGGTTCGGACAAACACGGATGGACTTTTTGATTCCATAAACCTCCACATTTTCTGATAAATCCCAATTTTCGAATCCTACATTTATATTATGCAAATTATTTCAGCGCCGTTTTATATTCAGTATATTGCATATTCAGTTCTTAAATTTTGTGCTTCAGATACTGATTAAAAAATTTTCATTAAAAATTAATTTTAAGAATAAATTGAAAAGCGAACAAATAAATATTGTGTTAAAAGCGACCATTAGTCTTTTGTACGTGGATTCTAAACCACTCGTTTTTATTAAGCAAACGGTCTTTGATGTTGTCAACTTTAAAGGTAAATTCAAAAATTTTTTGCTCATTACTTCGCTCTCGCTAATTTCCTCGTTTCTCTATAAAATAGGAGACTGAAAGGAAGCAGTACTTATAAAAGCGGTGTTTTTGTTTAATGAACATAGTATGTATTTTTCCGGTAAAACATTACACAGAATATTAACGGTGTAATGGTATAACGTGTATGATTTTTAAAAGTATATTTCTCTCTATAAATCGATCCAATTGGCATGCTTCAGATTCACGAGATATTTCTGATGCAAATGTATTGATGATTTGATTAATTTATATATATATATATATATATATATATATATATATATTATATATATATATACAGAGTTGATTTTAAAAACAACCATATTTTTGAGTGATTTCTAAAACTATTTTTCCTCTTGCAAAAATTTTGTCCGAAACTTAATTTTTAAGTTATAATTAAAAATAGTTCGCTACTCTCACATACACGAGTCCAGTAGAGACTGTCAAGTGTTAACGTTAGTCTTATAATGCGTTGCACCGTCCCTATCTGCCCGTTATACCAGATTCGTATGTGTGAGTAACGAACTATTTTTAATTACTTATAACTCGAGAACTAAGCTTTGGACTTCGCTCAAGAATATGGCATTTTAAGGACATCGCAAGTTGTTTTGAATTACCCTGTATATATACACATTTTTTTTATATATTCATATAATTTTATTATGAGAGTTCTCTTAGTTTTTAAATATACATATATTATGTTGTCCATCATCACGCTGAATTTTAATTTACCTTCTATTTATATAAGTTTTGCGTTATTTCATGTCGTTTAATGCATTGTGTGATAAAATGACAGCGTAGCAGTGACTATGTGTAGAATAAAAAATTTCAACGTAAAAATTGTAACGCGTAATTGTATGCGTACGAGAAAAAATGTGATAAAGTAAGCTTTTAGCGAAAAATATTCAAATATTTTTATATAATAATAATATATTGCAATATTAACAACTAAAAAACATATTTTATATTAAATTTGTACATATTGTTATGTAAAATGTAAAAATATTTGTTAAAATTTCGTACGAACCCTGAAAAACGTCTTCGTACTTCCACCTTCCAAAGTACCATACGGTATCTCCGTTTGTTCTGCGAGATCGGCGGCGTTTTCGATCGGCGTTATCATCCTCTCGACGGTCAGGAAGGCAGCCAGATTTGCGGTGTAGGATGAAATAATGATCAGCGTGAAGAACCACCATATGCCGCCCACTATTCTCGTGCTAGTGGCCTGACAAAGAGGATTAATTCCATCTTCATCTCGTATAAGCTCACATAATGTTGTGTTTTTCCTTCAGCAATCACACGGATATTTTAATTCGGCGATATTAAATTATTCAATAGTCTATTAACAAGTTAAATTCAATGTTACGAATATGTTATTAATTTAGTCATATTGATCACTCATTCATAAATTTTATGAAGAAAAATCGTAATTTATTAATCAATTGATAATCTAATTCATAAATTCAAATGTAAATTTAAATGTAAATTTTCATAAACTCGACGTAAATATATGTATAAATAAACACCGATATTAATTTTATCACATAAAATAATTAAGCACGATGAATTTTCTAGCGGCATGAATTTTAAATATGCAGTCGTATGCGTTTTCGAACAATCAGATAACATCCGTACGTGTTAGATATTTCTTCAGGAAACAGAGATCATTTAATTCAAGTACCAATCAAGACAGTAGTACCGAAATCAAACTGTCGTAAATACGTGAGAGAAATACCCATTTAAAGTTCTGGTAAGAAGGATCTTTCCGTGTGGATAGTGCTCAATACAACTCCAAAGTCCAGCAAGGCAGATACTCCCATTTCTCTCGCGGAAGACCGTAAGGAGATTCGAAGATCGATCGAAAACGCATCAAGGCGAGTTACGAGGATCCCTACGGGAAATACCGCGCAGCAGTCTGAAGAATGCAATACGAAGTCTCGTTTAGGATTCGCCGCCGGAATATTTCGGCCCATTAATGGCGAGCCTGACGATCGCGGAAAGGATCGTTGAATAAAGTCAGAACATCGGTTCTGAATGGTTCTCTCATTCCCGTAATACACGATGCTTTCCGCGCTTCGGAGTGAACGAGGATTAATCAAACGGTTCTGCCGCGCGTAAGAGTTTTCACCCGGCATAATCCCTGCATTCAGAATGCATAATGAATGTATTTAATTCGTATACGCCGAATATAATATCCGTGTTTTGCAAGCGGCTTATGCTCGTTTGCGGAACAATTCTTTTGGAAGCGGCGCAATTCGGACAGCCGCTTATTATCCATATCGATGAAAGACATTCTACGCGCGTGTGTGATACATTTGCGTGCTTTTATCTGCGCGCGAAAAAATTCAAAACAAAAAGCACATTATTGTTTGCAATATTACATTCTTCCGCGTGGCCGCTCAACCGCGACTCTTGATAATGTCGTCGCGCCTGGTCGACATGAAACACAATTTGCTGACACTCGAGACAGTCGCAGCGACAACCCCGCATGTACATACGTGCCACCAGAGTCAATTAGCATCGCATGGTGTACAGATACTATAAATATTTATGTTTCTACATGATACTCTACTCTTGAATTATTATATCTTTAAAGTTTTAATTTTTTCCTAGCGCGTTGGTCTAATAAATATTGTAATATTTCATGTGTGTGCGCTTACAATATAAAAATCTAAGATTTATTCAAATATTTACAGGCATACAATGTGTAATATAACGGAAAACTGATTCGGCAACAGGAGATGTGAGATAAGATGTCACGTATTTTTAGCATACATACATATTTTTTTATCTTTTATATACGCTATAATTTTTTGTTCGTTTTTTATTTGAAACTAGAGCATCATAAAACATACGCAATATCGCGGCGTGAGAGCAAAAGATAAAAAAAAAACAACGAAAAAGAAACAACGGATACCCCTGTGATTTATAAGTTTAGATGAGTTAACTTCATACCCTGATGATTTATTAACAATATAATAAACACATACATATATATGCTAATATCGAAATTATTATTGTTCACATCACAAATTATTATTATTATATCAATGTTAATGTTGCTTAGCTACATATATATATTTTCTTTATTCATATACATATGTCGCATTTCCATATTCATTATATTCTAGTTCCGTTGCTAACAGAGAGAATTAATTACTAATTCGTCCAAAAATATATTTTACGCTTAAGTTAAATAATTAATTACTTTATGTTAAACAATTGGTACTTTCATATATTAATATATAAATTACGAAATTAATGCTTTGTTTAATCAACTATTTTATCTCTGTGCATTTTGTTATTCATCTAAATTTTGGAGTAGATCGGATAATGTTGCAGTAAATATGTTAACAATAATACGTGACGTGTAGTTTACATTGATAATTATATGCCATTGTCATTATAATAATGATACAAACTAGAGCATGAAAATCAGAGGTTTCGTGATAAGCTTTTTTGGGCAAGCGGTGAGCAAGTTGCGAGATGCGTTGTGGCAATTTATATGCGATAGTTTTTGCATGCGTTATCATTTAGTCGGGGCGAAATTTTCATTTTGCACCGCTATTTGCAATTATCAAATAAACAATGCATCTCGAATCAGTCGAGTGACGGCTCTCGCCGTGAAACCTCGCAAACTCCGCGCCCTACATGTTACTACACAAGCGTCTATGCTGCTGCGTTTTCAGGATAAAGGCAATTAACGTTCAGTGCAGATTAATATCAAGCAACTGCCATATCTCCTCGCTACAGTAATTGCAATATTGGTAATGCTGCAGTTACAATAATTACCACGCTACGTCTTCAAGATTATTAGTAGAATACGAATCGGAGCGTATATTCGCGAACAAATGAAAATTTTTTATACGCAACTTTTTCTTCAAAATATTAAATGCCTTATTATATTTCACAACAAGTAAAGTTACAGTGAGTATTATAAAGTGCCTAGAGTGTTCTCCCTACTAGTTTTACTTTTTAACAGCTTTTTCTTCAGTTGTGTGATATGAAGTGGAAACAAGAAGTTTAGAAGAGAGACCCCGTTCGATACTGAAGTCTCTTGAAAAACCATCCGCGGCAGTCATTCGCGTAAAAGTGAAGAACCGGCGTCAAATTTATTACCGAACCTTCACGTGCAACTACTTTTATACTATCCTCCCTTGAATCTTGCATAGAAAGTTTATTGTTCTTTTGTCTATCGTAGCATCATCTAAAGGAACAAAAATCTCAGGAGACTTTTACGGCATATTGTGTACATCAATGTTAAAGATACAGAAAAAATATACAATTTTGTTGTGCGCCTTCATTGCATGTATGTAAGCTAAATATCATAAAATAACATTGTAGAATAAAAAGCAACAATGTTGGCTGCTACATAAATCAAAAGAAAAGTATGAAAACGTACTGCATAAATATTTGTATGTCCGCTACTTCGTATCTTGCTAAATTATTGAAATCAATAAAAAATAGACGCAAGAAATTAAAAAGCGATTGACTTATATGTGCATGCAGGGCTGATTTGCGTTTTTCTGAAGAACTTTTCGATGCGTTATTATCGATTACGTGATGATTTTGAAAACTAAATTAAAAATATATTTGCTCTGTAATAAATAAATAAGACTGTTTTCAGCGATAAAAATGAAAAGTTTGTTCAAAATCTACTAATGCAAATAAAACCTGTTTAAAGTTTGTGCTTTTCCATTTCTTATCGTATTTGGAATCAATAAATCCTTTCACATTCTCTTCAAATCTACTTATTACATAAACTCGATAAGCAATACTTCACGATTTTTTTTAACGTCGTCGTACAACGCAATCATAATTACAGATAAATTCAAATAAAATTTCGAGAAAAAAAAATATTACATTGGTAAGCTCCATTTTTTGTTAATACAGTGAGAAGAAGAGAAAAGTATGGCGCGAATAATAAGGAACAGTTCTTTTCACTCCAAATGCTCCTATTGTCCGCGATCTCGCAATGCCGATGCCATCCCAGTTTATACTTCGTGGGAACTTTTCTTGCGATTGACAGAAGAAATCTATACAATATTGCGCGTATTATTCGACAACTGAAAGCCAATTGTGCGCTATTCCACGTGTACCACGGTGTTCTTCATCCTATTCTTATCCATCGTGTTACGGCGACCGTGTAAGTAAAAACTGTCTTGCCGCAGGAATAATAATTTCCTGCAGTCGCGGAACAGTGAGCAAAAAATAGTACATTTCTTCTCTATATCAGAAGCAAAATCACCATTCATGTACGTATCGTTGTGTGAAAAATCATTATTTATTTCTTTTCTTCTTTTGCTAAATGTAGCATATTTTGCTACTGGATTTTTAATACTGGCGCGAATTTATTGTGGATATCGCATAAGCATTTCACATTTTGTACAAAATCTTTTCTAGTTTTATTCGATGCTATTTATCCGCTTCTGCAGGGGTGTTTGCATGGCATACTCATGTAGCGCTTTTGTGTATCTGACACTTATTTAGCTTCCACCTTAAAATACAAAAATCGTTGAATTTCGCTTCCCAGTTTCACAAGTAAAAGCACTTAGAAATTGCATGTGTAACTGAAATTTGTGACGTTTTATATACGGACCAACAAAAGTATAAAAGTTATACGAACATAAATTCGTATTTCTTTTTTTATTTTTTTAAAAAGCGTTTTTGCAGAGTAACATTTTTCAAAAGCATTAATTAAGCAAGAATATATAAATGCAACACAGGTATAAATAAATTCTTTCGTTTACATAGCTTTCCAATTAAAGTAAAATAATTTAAAAGTCGATGATAATTATGTCATAAAGAAACGTGCCTTTCATCTATAAAATATGTAAAAAAAAAACTGCGTTTATATTGAATTCTCCAAGATATCAAGACAAATTGCTCTCGCAACTTTACCGATTGTCATATCTTTCATTTCCCGCAAAGTATTCCCGAGATATTGCAACTAATAAAGTTTCTTCTCCCACTTTTCTCTTTTCTAGAATCTTTTCTGGATTTTGCACATGGTTGAACAGAGCGAGCAATTTCCAAGCGTATGTACTCGATGGCCATTAAAAGCGAGGAAAACTGCTTCGCGCGAAAATGGCTTCGAGCGGCGTGAATGCGAACGCGAAGAAAGAGAACAGACCAGCAAGAAAGACGGGTTTTGTTACGCTGTAATTATTGCACGGCTAAATCTAGGGGTCAGTTTCCCTTTGGCGTAGTAATGCTATTTTAAGTTAATTCCACAGGAATTGCACGGATAACAATAATCGCTCACTATTATTTAAAGTGCAATTATTACATTAAATGGAATAAATTATTAAATATCTAAAATGCTTCACAAAAGTATGTATATAATTTTATATTATTATCATATAAATTATAAATTTTTAATATGCTTTGTCTATTATTTCATTAAACATTTATAATAATGAAACCAGTTATTATATCAAGTGCAAGAATTTTATATATTGCCACAAAGAGAAAATTTCTATCGAAATATCATAAAAATTTCAGCGTCGGCATTGCGATATACGTATATGAAGATACAAATATAAGCACAGATTTACGGTACACAGAAACTCACTTCTCGTTTTACGCTTTGATCAAAATTTGACTGAGGCATGATAAAGTAATAAGCCACTCTCTGGCCTTTCGCAAGCATGTTGTTTGAACGAGTATTTGACTGCCATAAAACTTTGAGATAAACGCAAACTTTATACCCGCCACTTAAATCGTGCGGTCGTCTTTAATTAACATCCCTAAAAAAATCTATAAAGTTGGTCTTTGACGCAAACGTTTCTGCTCGTTGCGAATTTCCGGAAATTCGACGAGTTATACGGAAAACGTGTGCAGCTGTGTGCGCACAAGTTTATTAATAAAAATTTCTTCAAACTGTTTTGACTCTCTATGGTGGCACGTTTACCTTAGGGTTGAGGTCGCTGCCCTGTTGCATAAGAGTGCCGACTGTAAACCAAAAGCTGTTGGCCATGTTGAACTCGTTGACGGTTCTCAGCAGCGGAATGTCGTCGCTATCCGGATCTAAGGCGCTCACGTGACTACCCTGATGGCAACGCGATAAGCCCCGTCAAGTGGTGCAGTTTTCAAAATAATTAAACACCAATTAATTTATGCATATTTTTCTGTTAAGCACGTATTATCTTATATGTACACGAAACTTTCGCCGGAAGGGATTGCAAATACAGAAGCCAGAAGATACAAAATAACACTTTTTCTACAACGTGTAATTTTTCCACTTTTTATTCATGTTTGCTTTTCCACTTTTCAAGCAATAAATTCTACATGGAAAAGTGCGCCAATGAATTATTAATTAACCATTTTTTACGTTTCTGATATTACACTTTGTGGCATAAAACCGCGAGAATAAAAGAGGTTTCTAATAAAATCCATGGAGCAATTAAAACGATTGCTCTGAAATTAATTACTGCAAGTACTGGCTGTACTTTATTATTTCAGCTGTTCAAATATTTATATTGTGGTATTTCAGCGGATACTCCGTTTTTGTCTATCGATCGTTTCGCACCACTCGGCGGGAGCCTACCTGCAAGGGACATTTGCAACTCGGGCAGGGCGACGGCTCCACCCATTCGTGGGGTGAGAATCTTGCCACTATCCATATTGTTAATGAAACCGTCACGTAAGCGCCCAGCAAGGACAGCCAGATCTCGACGGCGAAGGGATTCATGAACGAGAAGAGCCGCGATGGCGTGCGTTTGGACACCTGAAGCAATGGCATTTGTTTTTGACGTTATTGATCTACGAAAATTCACTCGTTCAATCCGATTCGACGTCGAGGACGAGATTACGATGCATTCACATCTAATCCCGCCGTATATCACGCTGAAAAATAATTTAAAAATGCGAGTTACTTATATATCTCTCGCGCAGCTTTCTTCCACAATATCCAGTCTCTCAAATGGCTCGAAAGACGATTCTTTATTTCGATGGAATTACAGAAGCGTATTATTCTTCGGCGCGTCGAGCGGAACACAATGGCAGCGCGCCCTGAGTGCAGACGCGGTACGTGCTGCTTTATTTTTTAACGAGAGATCGCTAACGCCGTGCAATCGGAGATTGGATTTTAAAATCGCAACAATCCATTGCAATTCTACTGCAAAAAGTGGTCTTTCTTATTCAAAAACCGTGATATCTTTTATAAAAAAGTTATTGATCGCGATTACTATTTCAAGGAATCGCTAGGACGATCATACGATCTCGTCTTTGTCCTAATTTTAGTTTCCTGTAATATTGCAAATGCATGATCTACAAAATACACAGGTATAAATGAATCGTCGAATGCTCAGTAAACAGACATCTGTTGTTTGCACTCCAGCGGGATGATAGATTTACATGCGCGCGCGCGCGCGCGCCGCTTCATGAATGGGGTTCGTATAGCATTCGTGACAGCGAACGGACGATATGTATGTCGGATGAGACACGGGGATAGAAATGTGCCCGTTGGTGTGCGCGCGAAAAGGAAAACGGTGAAAGTAGTATGTAGTCCAATGGCGGAGCACCTCGTCGAGTGTACCTTGGGGTTGAGCCCGCTGCCCTGGCGTAGGAAGGTGCCGGTGATGAACCAGAAACTGTTGCTGACGCTAAACTGATTCTCGACCACATCGCTCTCGGCCAGACAGGGGTGCGGATTGTTCCACTCGTACGGGCTGAAGCGCGCCATCACGAAGAGGCTGAAGCTCACGAGCATGTAGGCGGCGAGCACGTACAGCCAGATCTCGACCGCCAGCGGATTCATGAAGGAGAAGAGCCGCGTCGGCTGACTGGACGGCACCTAAATTACGTCACGCTACGATTTTAATTAAAACGGATCCCGTCTCCGTTGCGCGACGCGGCGTGGCGCGACGTGGCGCGACGCGACGCGACGCTGCGGGCCGACGCGAGTCAACTTCTCCACGACGGTCTCAGTATCAAAAAGATTTCTCTCTGTGCGCGCAGTAGTTGATAAGACAACAAAGAAAATTAACAATTATGAGACAAGACACGCTGATTTTTTTTCAATTATTTAAATTAATTTTGTCTTAATTATTTTTTATGTTTAATTATACAAGTACACCTTGCATAATTATGCACAACTGTAGAATTAAGATGTCTATTTCTATTATTCGTTATTTAATTTGCTTTAGTCCGTAGTAACGACACGAAATACCATATCGAATCGCTTTCGCTAATTTGTGTTAATGGAACACACATAAACTGAAATGTGCACTCAAAAAATAGTCATTAAATTAAATACATATGATTTAAGGTGGTTCGAGTGTGATAGATTGGCTAAAAGTAATGCTTTTCTAAGAAGATAATAAGTTAAGAAATTCTCATTATACACACGAAACTTTTAGCTATGATTGTACAAAATGCTGTAGTCTGATATATGTATGTATTAAATTATGCACTATGCATTGTCGTAAATGTATAACCATGTGTTGCTTTATTTATGAATTTCTAACTTGTAAAGTGAAGTATTGTAATCATGCATTCTATTTGTAAGATTGTGATTTTTTTATATTATTAAGTTTAAAATATGTCGACAAAAGTGAGATATAACGGATTAAAAATGGATTAAAAAAAGCGCGTATTTATATTAACTTTATATGTCACAATAATGCAGTGTCATATTGTTATGTAAGTGTTTCATTATTAAGTATGATAAAAGTCTTAAAATTTCAAACTTTAATTTCTTAATAATTAACAAGTAAACTACTGCAACTTTTTTCTTAAAAGCTTCATTATAAATTTATTTATTATTAAACAGTTTTTTTTTTAACCGTAAAAATAGTTTTTTTATTGTAGCACATAATTAAATGTAATATCGACTTTCGTCATAAGATTCTGTGTAAAAAAAGTTTCTCACTTTGAAGTCAAATATCTCAGTAATTAATAAGTCATTATCGTTGAAATTGTGAAATTATATTTATGAAGTCTCTAAGTACAAATAATATAAATTTGAATAATTAAGAAAATTAATTAACACTCGAACCCATCTTAGCAAATAATAGATAGCATGCATGTATAAAATATAAAAGAAATATTACGAACACACGATGTTAACTCACCTTAAATAAAATACCAATTCCCAGATTCATAAATGGCTTCGTAAAGTCTATTACGCTTTCTCTGGCATAATTAATCGTCATGGAGGCAACCGCTAAATCTGCTCTCTGAAAAAAGATTAGAGTCTCCAGGAGTATTAAGGAAATTCAATTTTCTCGGAAAAGTTGAAATTGTGAAAAGACGGGAATGCCTACAACATTGTAGGAATTAATATTGCACAAAATGTTGCTTTTCCTAAAAAAAGAAAATTTAAATTCTTCCCTTACTAAAACACAAAAATCTTTCTTTGAAAGCGAACTTTTTCAAATAACGAAAATACGTGTAATACGGCGCAGTATGCATTTGTGTAGTCAAGTAAATGCATTTTATAACATAGAAACGAACCGTGAATAAAAGCGTTACAAATTACTGATAAGTCTTCGTTCTGGGTTCGCAAGAGGATTTACTTTGCGAGATAGTGGATGCATTTTTTATGAATGGACGAGCGACACAAGTTGTGAAGCACCCTATTCGCATCATCCTTGGTTCTTGAATATCCACGGTTTCGTACGGTTTCCGGGTTTTCAGGTTAAGGCGTCATCCCTTTTCACAAGAGGCAGATTGCTTTGCATGTTTTATAAACCGCTGATCTTCGGTATTCAACGAGTACGCCGTGAAGCCGAGCCGCAAATTTTGAGATGCATGCTTTTCTCCGAACGCCTCGCCTTTCGCATTCCATATTAATACGAGATGCGCGTTTGTTTTTCATTTATACATTGCACATGTGAAAATATACGAGTATGCAAAGTAAACTCATTAAAATGATCAAAAGTATGTTTAACATAACAACGTACATTGTTTTCTGATATTAAATTTTAAGAAAATTAAAATTGTATTAAATTTTACTAATTTGTTAATTGGTTGACATTATACAGTTAATTACGGATAAATATTATCACTATTATTATAACCGTAATTAACTGTATAATGTCGATATACTGTTTAATTGCTAAACAAAATGCCTAATATATTAAAGTATATTTTAGTAGTTATTATAAAAAAAGTTGAGTGATATATGTATACCACGACGAATAAAGCTGGTGAGAGAACTCTTGATAGAGTATCGCAAGCTTTTAACAATCTCACAAATATATACGCGTACAGTATATCGATGTCATCGGTTCAACAACAAAAGCTTAAATTATTTATCGAACAAAGGTAACGCTTTATCACGGACAAAGACGCATGTTCGATGTATGAGAAAATCAATTCGCCTATACAACAGTCACACATGCAACATGTATCATACATCTCACGTTAAAAAGAAACAAAATACGCTTTCGGGGACAAATAAATGTTCGAACCATTGTTGCCTACATTTATCAATAAAATGTCGCTGCGAAGTAATTTTTTTGTTCAGCGACTAATTTTTTTTTTTAATTTAATATCACATTAAAGAGCGTACATGTCTCTGCGCTTATGAATCGCTATTGTCGAAAGGTCGTTAGTATTTTCAATATTACAAAGCTCATTCACACTCATTTCTACATGCCAATAATATTTCCGCATAACAATACTGGAACGAGCGAGCGATTTTATCCCGACTACAATTTTGTTTTTACATGCTTGCATATTCGCAATTTCGTTATATATTGTATTCCTGCGTTTTCATCGATCCAACGATGAAACTCGGAATCCAATAAGAACTCCCTTTTCAGAGGTTTCCTCTCCCTGACGCATTAACGTCCGTCCGTAATGTTTTCCGGTTTTTCATTGAAGATTTAAATGTATACGCAGACATATCTTTTTTCTTTATGGATATGTTTGCATCCGCAAAGAAGCACCGTGCGAATGAAGAATTCGATAACGAAAAGACAACATTTATCTTCTTCAAATATGCACAAACACGGAAAAATTAAAATTGTTATCAAAATTCAAAGAAAAATTGTTGACGTTGGAATAATATGCAGATTCTTTTGTTCTTAATTCTTTTCGTCTATTTTAATAACTTTGTTTAACAAGCAGCTATGTTTATATTCTAAGGAAAAAAAAAATTGATAAAATAATAGTCAATAATTTTATATGTATAGATATATGATAATCAAAAAGAAAATAAATGTTCTTAAAATTTTAATTAAATTTTTTCTGAAGCAAATGCCAATAGTTGATGCTCATTAGGTATATGAAAATGATGCTTTGTAATGGAAAATTGATAATATCTAATAAAAATAAATTTGGCCTACTTTTCAAATTGGGAATTTCAACTGCAAGCTCGCATCATTGACGTTTTTATCTCATTATTTCAATTCATCCGAGACGTTTCATCAAGCAGTATTACTGACATTTTAGATTCCATTGTAGCTTTAGAATTCTATTGAAGTTTCAGAATTCCATTGTATAAAAAACATAAAATATATTTGTTAATTCAAATATTTTTTAACTAATTAAATGAGTCATAAAATCGTTAAAATTTTGACACAATGTTGATTTAATAAAAAATATTGTAGTGATAATTTACCGTAGGAATAATAATTTTGCAATAATAAATGATGCAATTTTAATAGAAATGCAGTAGAAATTACGCGGATATCGTGTGTACGCCTACTCGATCATGCAGACAATAATGGATCGACGACGCAAATTAAATCCGCAAGACGCTCGGATGCGCATATATCAATCTTTCATTTTAATAACTGCACAATTTTACAATTCAAATGACAGGGCGTAACATCTGCAGGCTGATCTATGAATCGAAATATCGAATACCGTCGTGCTCGTGGGAAAAATAGTTAATCTAAGTAATTCTTATTTCCGACTACACGCGTAATGAAATTCCTCGTGGGATGGATTTATTGCGACACGCCCGCGGAAATTTACTTTGCTTTACATATAAAATCGGCCTCTGGGGCTACGAGTTTCCATTTTCCCTCCTCAATTGTTTCTCTTAATATTAGATACTATGCCGCCGCGTAATTTATTCAGTAATATTAACCTTTCGCAGTCTAAGTTTATTTCAGCAGTAACATCAACACTAAACTGTATAAATTTTTAACATTTGCAACGTCAACAGCACTATCGATTTCTATCAATTAAAATATTTCACAAGAATTCGAAAAGTGCAATAACTTAGTTCTCCTCTAGTATCACTCGTTTGGAAAAAAATATGAAAAAATGTAATAAATTACTCGGATTTCTCTCGACACAAAATTGCAAAGATTTAATGAACTGAGAGAATCGTACATATGTATTTCGATTCTTTTTTTATCTCGCGACATGTTTATCAAATTTGCTTCTATTTCGCGTAATCTCTCTTGACAATAGAACAGTGCACCACACGAGAGAACCTTGCTTTAATACGTTGCATACATATTAACATATTTACATCTCATTCCACGTCTTACACGTTTATTACGTATTGAATTATCGCGCGAGCGAAGGAAAACAGGATTTACGTACTCCGCCTTACCTTCTCCATGAGTTCACGCACGATTCCATTCCACTCCTTCGTCTCAGGATCATACACCCCGTACATGTGATCGGGCACCAATTTGATTGCGTATTGGAAGCCGACCTGGCCTGCGATCCACTTGAGCAAATCGATGCAGAAGCCCTCGAACCTCGCGTTGCCAGTCAAATTCTTGTCTTCTTTTACCATGACGTAGGGTCTTTCCTGCGGAAGATTGGATTCCATTGATAGAATTTGCGTATATTGTAACGGGGCAGAGGTAACTCTTAAAAGTTCTTATTTTTACGTCAGAAAGCCGCACCAAAGGTTGAGAAAAAGCTGTTCAATGCGAATACATGGCATTCTGATCGCTTGTCCTTCAAACATTTCTTTTTTTCATGTCATCATGAATTTTTCATTTTTCTGAAGATATATGATGACCATAAAGGGCACTCTCTGTCAAGGTTTTTCTTTCATGTGACACTTCACAATTTCGTCTATACTCAAATATCTCTAAATTCTTTCTAAATTCTATGATCTTTATGGACATAATAAGGTAACGTAAAATTATCAAGTAATTAAATTTCTTTTGCGTTAACCACATTATAAAAATAATTAAAATATTTTTTGTGTTATTTAAGTTATATGATTCTTTTGGAATTAATATTTGATAAAAAGATTTAAAAAATTGTCAAACAATTAACACGCTTTTGCGTTGTGTGAATTAATCGTCGCTAGGAATTAATTCTAATTACATATTGGAAGTTGGTGCTGTTTGAGCATTAAATGTGAATGCTTCATCTCTGCGCGATGTAATAAATTTATCCGACCCCGTTTAGACCAGCTTTCATAGCATATCATGTCGGTGTTCGCGCAGTATTCCGTTTAATGATTAATTCTAACGCTACGAGAATTGCAAACACAACTAATTTGGGTATAAGTGTGTCATTACTTCTCTCGTCATCACCACGAGCGTAATGTTGGTCGTTGTGGTCTCGTAAAAGGCGTCCAGATCTGTAATATTAATGCCGGATTCGAGATACCATTCGCCGACTTTGACAAGGTCCTCCTTCTTCAGCTTCAAGAGATCCAACTTGAAATTATTTCTTTTTCCTTGTTTGAACTCGATATGTCCGGTTAATCCGTGTAAACCTGCCTGCAACAGAAACACTCGTGTAAACTTTAAATTTGAGGTCGATCGCATTTACTTGTTTTTCACGCGTTCGTTAAATTATGTGCGTTTAATCGTCATTAAATAATAAATAAATAGAAACATTACTTGAATATATATTACAGGTCTAAATGCGTATTGCTAATATTTGTCACTCTATAATTTATTGCTACTGTACAAACAAAATTCAAGCTTAAAAAGCGCGTAAGTATGTATCATTTTGCTTTTGTAAAGAAACGTTTTAGCCATATAACTCTGCGAAGCTTTGTATCTCCACTACTTAAAAATAAAACGTCTCGGAAATTGTAGTTTTTACGTAAATTGCGGTCTTCCGTGATAAGGATGTCTCAAAGTTACGAAAGTGTCTCAAAAATGAATATTCCATTTCCGAACAGATGCTAAATTAAACGCAAAGGTCGAAAAATAATAAAAAATCATGTGCGTCTGATTTCCGTTAAATTTATTTCTCCTCCGTGTCCAGTAACTCACGCGCACACGTACACACGATTCATTGCTGACGGCCTACATTTCCGGATGCATGCAGCAGGCGAAATTTTTCGCATTAATTACCGTTTGCGGTCTACCGGCGGTCTGCGCGCAGTTTATTTGATTTACATCTCTTTTTTACTGTATATCCGTTGTTGTCGAGGTTGGTGAAATATTCATCCAAAATGCACTTCTTCCTAAACTCGGCCACTTAATCTGCCAACACTCGAACGAGATAAATCTTCTTTTCCCTCTTCCCGCCTTGAATATTTCGAGTTCTCGCATAAATATTCTTCACGCGAGCTTCGGCTGTTTAACAATTCCGGTATTAAAGAATTTCATTATTCCGCTGGTAGTCAAACAGCGTGATTTTCATAATTTTGCACAACGAAATATTATCACCTTTCCGTTTCTCACTGCGCGAATTAAACGGACGGATTTTTTAAATATTTTTTAAATATTATAGTCAGGACTGATATATGCGGGGTCGTACACTTTTTAGTTACGCGCCACGTGCTTTATTCCATTCGTAATCTATTTCGGCACGATAGAGGTATGGAATGTGCGGGTGGGATCATCACACAAAAGCTATAAAACAATCGATATCGTATCTGCATGGAGAATTCAGATCAATCCGGGCAGACTTTTGTACAGCTACTTCAATCGCGTGTTGCTTAATTCAATGCATAGTGAGAATAGAGTGCATTCTAATAATTCAATTGTCCGCAGACTTCTATATTTATTTTCAGTTTCACAAATAAAAAAAATTAATTAAAAATTATGTATTATTATTTTTATATGACAAAATTGCATTTTTACTTTTTAGATATTTTTAATTGTTTAAAAGATGTTCATAAAAATTAAAAAAATTAATTTTGAAAAATATTTCAATTTAATCATTTAACAAAAAATGCGTTTGAATTTGATGCATCAGTGCACTTGTTAACACAACTTTAATGAAGACCAACGTTCAGAAATACGACGGATTTTGTTTGTCCGCGTTGCTATTTTTCGTGTGCATTCACAAGACATGTGACTCTATGAAATGCGTGCTGTCAAATTATCCCGTGAGCTAACAACAAGCATCTTCCATCAATCTGACAGCCGGCCAAGAGTTTTAGCAGCGATTTCACGGTCAGAATTTTTTTGGGGTTGTCAGCAGCAGTGTTGCGATCGCCGACTACGTGGATCGATAAATCTCTACCGCGATATCTCGTTAGCACCGACGTCGAGCCGGCCCGCATCAAAAATACGCCGATGTTCGCAAAATAAATGGTAAGCACGTCGGAAGTGAACCGGTAGTGCACAGTGTCACGTGTATTTTCGGTACTCGATGTACTCGCTCGACTAATACTCACGTTAATTACGTTTACGTGTGCATCTGTGCACACATGTAACACTGTTACGTACACACGCATCGCATACAATAAAATACACAGGTCGGGATATTTTGTGGGACCATGTTGCAGGTGTAGTTTTACAAAAAAAGCAAAAAAAAAAGTACAAAAACGATAGAAGCATGGAACAGATTGACACTGTAATCGAAATCAACGTTTATGAAGAATCAATGTAAACTTAATATTATCCGGATAATCTATTGTAAATATTTTTATTTTTATTTTGTTTTTGTTTGTCGTATTTTGTTGTTTATCTTTATTTTTACAATCACGTGTTTGATTGTTTAGTTTTAGAAACAATTGACACGCTTTTTAACGAGAAAAGCGGTTTATCTACGAACCATATCGCCGTTGTATCTCGAAAATACGCATTTAAAGGAAATTAATTTAAATCTGAAAGTAATATAATCTATATGCATAATGCATAATTATACAAAATCTTGATATACTTTTTATTAATTTGCAGTTTATGTATTTATTGAAGCGTTAAAGAGACATAAAAAGAAAAAGTATCTTTTTTTAACATTACAAATATAACAGAATTTTATTTTTCCTCTAAGACATCTCTTATATTTTCATATAATGTCGTAGCGATCCGAGTTCACGACTTGGAAATATTGACTTGCATTTCCAATCTTGCCTACTCGCACTCATGTGTACACGCGCGCGACGATGGTGAGTTATATACCGCAGCTAACATAAATCCATTTGCAAGCGTTCGGTAACAGAGATGTCGTACTGTTTGTACGTTCGCTTATCCAACGGCTGATACCAAAAGCATATTGGAAATAAGATATTTTGCTAAAATAAGTGAAGTTTATTCCGCTTTCGTATGCGTAATATGAAATATATGCTGCAAACTCGACTATTCTGTTCCATTGCTGAAATGTTAAGTCAATAAAATATTCAGATTTTTAAAATAAATATATACTATAAAAACAGAATATATATATTTGTATAATATTTAATCCTTTTATATATGTAGTTTGAATTTCATTTCTCATTCGCCCGGTTTTTCTTTAGTATCTTCATATATCTCATACATTTTCGCACCTTCAAAGCGTTGAAGTGTACCTCGATAGGCAAAAGCCACAAAAACCGCCTATACTTGCCGTGGTGCATTAATCTTGCCGCTTTTGCAGCGAGCTTTAGCTTTTAGCGCGCGCGCGCTCGGCTTGTTTGAGCGTTGTAAGATTTGCTAAGGTTTCTCAAGCATAAACCGTAAATATGTAAAGCTTATAAAAATTATAATGCAATGAATATGACAAAAAGACATGTACATGTGTGTGAAAAAGAGTTGCTGATTAAAAGACTTAACATCGACGATATATTATAAATTCTTTCGTAACCAAATCACAATTTTTATAGTTTACCTATAATAATAATGTGTCTCCGCGCACACTTGTCTCTTGTTTAATTTAAATGCCAGGATAGTAATATCGATTTTGAAATATTAAGCTAACCGTTATCCGCCTGTCGTTAACTAAGAACGTGCCTTGTTTAAGCGCCTTGTTTAAAATAATTTACCGGATCGCTCATTTATTCACGCTATTGTGAGTTACAGAACGGTAGAAAAGCGGCGGATATGATTATTCCATTAATAAGATACGGTCACGTCGGAAGCTGCCATTTTCCTGTCACGCGGGATTTAATCGCGTAAGCGAAATGTAGTCACGAATATACTCCCCCATGCTACATACTGTTTCTTCGCGGTGTGCTATTTATTTCGGATTTAACATGAAAGAAATGTCGATAACCGATACGGGCGCAGTGACGTTTCGAAGACGCAACCGCCAGACATTGATATTTAGGGAGAGCGTTGATATTTACGAACGAGTGGATGCTACGTGAAAGGAATGGAACGGGCAAACTTATTGTAAACTTTTATAATTTCTGCATCAAAGTTTCTCTTCCTCTCTCTCTCTCTCTCTCTCTCTTTCTCTCCTTCTTTTTTTCTTCTTATAACGGGTACTTTTCTATTGTCCGATAACGCCTCGCGACTTGAGCGGAATGCAATGCGCCCGGATAATAAAAAGATTGTCCCGCGAGGCAAAACGATGCTCAAGAGAACTTATATATATATATACTACTGACACATATTATATCTCTCTTTTACTGACGATCGTGAGATACTATTAAAACCTAGGGTCGTGTGGCGAGTAAGTTTCGAAAAATTGTCACGACTCCGCCGCTGTTCTCTTCTTCTTCTTCTTCTTCGCGATATCTTCGATTATTCCGGCGACCTAAACTGAACTTTTCTACGCGCTTCCAATTTTCTTTGCCGCCGCGGGAAAAGAGGAACTTTATAATGGCGCGTAGAAAGGAACGTTGAAGGCATAATTTGTAGAAAACCGTTATTGTGTAAACTTATAAGTCTCTGTGACACTCGAAGCGACGTGCGTCATTATGCTTTCTGTTCCGCCGTTGTAATTTTTCTTCCGCGCGAGAGCTCGACGCCGATTCTAAAATATCGCGTTTGTAAACCGCTCCGCGAAAGATCACGTTGTATCAAGATACAAAAGACAATTTCAATTTTGGAAAATTTAAATTCTCGTGATATTTGAATTATGCTACATGGTGAGACTGAATACCATTTGGCTTATAACGTTAATGAAAATGCTTTTAGAGAATTTATTGCATTTCCTCGTCAAAATATGTCACGGCATGCTGTGTACTCCGCACTCGAGTTAATGCTGTTTGCGTAAAGTAGAATATTGCGCAGACAAGTACTAGTGCAAATCTTTGAAAATAAGTCCGAAACGGCTTGGTAAATATCGCCTAATGAATTATTAATAGCGGTATAAATATAATAATTATTATTAATCATCTAATACTTTCCCGCTGTTGTTCATCAAAAAATTTCTTAATTATAAACCTCTATAAGATTTTGAATGGCAAACGTTGCCTATGATTTATATGCTTACGTTCTTAATCAGAAAAGTCTTACATTAAATGTAAAGCTAATTTTTTTGCCTTGATAAAAAAAGATGTATATATTAAGAGCAACGAAAGAGAAGCAACATAAACACATGGATAAAAAGATCGCTATATTATTAATATGATTCAATACAGTTACATTTTTGTAGACTTTTTTAAATTAAATAATGTGAAATGCGAGAAGAAAAATCAATATTTTAATTTCTTTCTATTTTAGCTTGGCACACGGATCCATTTTTTTCTTTTTCAGAACAAAAAGAGTAATTTTTAACCACTTCTTTTTACAAACATAGATTCTGTTTCCTTTCAACAAATATTCCGCATAGAAAATCAGGAAACTTTGGATTTAAAATTCTTATATTCTATAATACCTGAAATCTAAAATTCTATTAAAAAGTTTAATAAATAGCAAATTCTAAGAAGTGTAGAGATTCTGTGAATCATAAATGATGAAATGAGTCTGAAGATTTAAGCGTCATTTAATTCGTCACCATTATGACTAATAGAGAAGTCCAATTTCAGTTGCACTTAGGTAATAAAGCTTCGTGTTACGCGGCGAGATCTAGTCATGGATGGCACGTACGCACGAGTTTACGTACGTGTTTCTCGTGTGACGCGGTTGTGCATTCGGGATGGTCGCCACACACGGAAAGCGCGACCACGACGGTTAAAGGAGGAGAAAGCCCGAGAGGAGAAGCTTCCGGCGTTGTAGCTATTTGCTAAATACGCTGTTCAATTATTCATGTGTCAACGTTGCTTTCCTTCCGTTACTCTCAGACTGCAGCTTATCGCCGAGCGACTACCAATCCGTGTGAGCTAGTGAAAAGTGCGCCCCCCCCTCCAAATTATCGTAATTTTTAATTTCCGGTGCTCTGGAATTTTAACTTTCTGCAAACCCGTGGCGAAATATGTGCAGTTTAACTCTTGGCTGATCAAAACAAATTTTTATCACTGAACTGTGAGAGAGTGTAAATTCTCTTGCATAAAATTACGTTTGAAACCTGTAATATGTATTTTTGATTTAATTATTCTCAAACAGCAATACAGCACATTTGCATGTCAATTGCTTTAACGTAAAAATCTGGTAAAATTGCTTTTATTTTTAACATTAAATCTGATTTATTTTTAATTTAATAACGTAAATTCTCATATTTATTGCGGATACAACAATTTAAAAGATTCTAATGCTTATAGAAAATATTTAATATCTGCATTTTTTTACTGAAATTGAAAATAGAATTCAAAACTGTTCTAAATCTATCTTGAAAAACGAATCAAAACCGCATGCATGACTGTATTATGATTGAATTTATTTTACATTATTTTTTCGCGATGTAATAATATTAAAAATACATATACGGATTCAAAAAAACATTGTTGGTATATTGGAAATATAGCACCGTGAATGTTGTAATGTTATAAAATTTATACTACGCCGCAGCGACACGTTTCAGGATGGCGTTAAAATTAAATAAAATCTTTTTTTGCAGAATATTTTCTTCTTTCACGATTTTATCACAGAACGCGAATACTAACTATAGTCAGCTCGATAGAAAGCAAATATTTTTTTTGTTGATATTTTAGTCGTTGAGCAGAATATAAAGATATTTTTTTCACTTTTTCGAGAGGCATAATAAAATTTTATGAATTTATCAAAAATTTAGTTATCTTAAAAATTGTTTAAAACAACTTTTTATAAATTTGAAAAATAAAAGCTAAAATATTTCGAAAGCGGAGCGTAAAACTTGTACTATTTACTTTGATTCGTATCGCTATTCCACTCAACGGCTTAAAGATTCACAGAACGTACGTACGGCATTAATATAGTTGTAGAGTGATAAACCGTCGTCCCACGGTTCCTCTTTCTCGCAGGACAGATTTACTAGCCTTAAATCGTGACTACGGTCCAGAGCTGCCAAACCGTGCACGAAAACCTGCACGCTATCGTACATCAAAGCTGTTTCTGCCTGAAACATACGTTTTCTTTTGACGAAAGTTGTGCTTTGCGTAGCCACGTGGAAAGCTTTAACATCAGCTTTAGAAGAACCAGTATATTGACAAAGTTTTTACTACTGCCGATGTAAACGTGGCTCGAGTTACGATTAAATTTTAACGAGACTCATTTTCAACTCTGTTCGTGGCTTAACGCTCGACCGGATGATTATTATTCATACTTGTTATCGGCGAAAGTTTCTTGTCCTATTTTACAATGACAGTTTATTCTTTGGAAAAGAATATTAAACTTGTTTATCGTGTTAAATTTTGATCTTATTTAAAATTAATTAATTAATTAAACAGTACGAAATTTGAAACTATAAATCGATATGTCTGCAACTAATAATTATTAAAATTATAATTATTTTCGTTATATTCGTAAAGATTCTTTTCAATTTAAAATTGGATAAAAAATTTTGAAAATTGGATAAAAAATTTTTAATATAATTTTAATGAGACAATCAACGAACGTATAAGCCTAAACATATTGATTTTTTCATATTAATATTTCAGAAAATTTTGATGAATTAAGAAAGCTCATTTAACGATTTTAGCAGACGACGACCATCTTCGAAGTCCTTGAGAGAAAGCCGTGCTTGGTGCGCTCAATTGATCCGAGTTAATGACATTGCGGCGCTAGCCGCGGGCGAAACTCACTTAATTACTGAAGGGCTGACAAAGCTCGAACTAGACACAGACTCTGCTGACCGGTTCGGTCCATCCGACTTTTCAGTCCCCTTTGCTTTTAGTGTCTCCACTATATTTGCTCGTAGCTAGCTTTTACTGTGATTTAGATTCATGACAATACTATTTTCTAATCAAATCCAATTAATTGGTATATTAATAAAATACGTCTGACTTGTCGGATATATTATGTAATATTTTATAAAAAAAGTAGAATAAAAAAATCTTGTATTAAAAATTGATTTTAGATTTATGTAGGTAAATTTTAGGCAATTAAAAAAGGGTTAATAATTACACGTGGCAATTATTACGAAGAGACATTGCAACGAATGTATATATTCTAACAAATAATAAATTTCTTATGCTATATAATTCTTTATATTATATGATTTTTTTATCATATTGCTTGCATCACACATTTTAAAATTTTCCGACTAATTTATTTAATTCTTGCCTTTCCAAAATATCAATCAAAATATTGCAATAAAGTATTTTATATCGCACAACAAAAGTTTCGACAAGCAGACGAGTTATTTTAAAAATCGTTAAAAAAGTTTATTGCAAACTTTCTGAAATATTCTGCATAAAGTTTACGCGAACGTCGCGAACTTATGGTCTTTTCATACGAATTGCTGTATTATGCTTGATAAGTGTAATCGTAAAATTTTATAATTAGATTTAGAAGACGTCGTTTTATATTCAATATATTCCACTAAGGTCGTAAAATGAGTTTTCCCAAGATAGTTTTAGTAAGAATTTCTGCATTGAATAATAAAAAACCATTTAATTTTTTTATTACACCAAGCATAATTTGAAATTTCCACTAACCTGAATGATTCCTGTTTTGTTCAGAATGGCATGTCCAATCGTTGACTGAAAATGTTCTATCTGCTTGAGTACTTTGACAACCTTGGGCTCGTCGAGATCCACCAAGCGAAAGGCCGTCATATTCACGCTGTTATATTTGAAATCTTCTAAATCAAATGTTTCTATATCCTGAAAACATAAAGATTTGTTTGTTTGAGTTAAATTTGTGCGCAGAAATTCATAATATTTAAAGTCTCAAATTATTATATTTTTTAAATAAACCATTTATATGTAATACAATTTAAAAGCCACGTAAATTATGCAAAACATTAAAACTGTTAATATATTTAGTTCATACATTAAAAATTTACTTTAATTAGCTTAAACATGTAATATTTCATGGTAAAAATATACTGTGAAAATCTCATAAATAACAGAAATAGTGTTAGTCATTCATAAGTTCCTGCAGAAATTATGGAAAAAAAATCTTCCTTCCATTTTCGTCCAAGTCTTTCGGTAAACAAATGGAGCTATCGACTTATTTAACTTCCTGAAATGATAAGGAGCCCGACCGCCTCCGGGCCGCAGCGATATTTAAGAAAATATAAGCGCGGTAAATTTTTTCCGCTCACGTTGTGTTTGCGATAAAGCGACTAAATTAAAAGTAGATGAGGCGGATCCCAGCGATTTCCTCATAATTGTGATCATTATAGCGTAACCAATCTTAGCCAGGCGCTGCCTTCTTCGATCGTCGTCCGGAAAGCCCGAAGGGAATATGATTTATAATTATACAGTGATGCATCGTTCGCGACGCAAATCGTTAAGGTAAATAGCGCGGCTTTTCCACGAGGTCGTTCACCGACAACTGCGCAGAGCGGCATAGCGAAGTCGGCCGTAGCGGTAGATAAAGCTACGTTTCCGCTACTGAGCGATTTCTTCCTTCGTCTCTCTTTCGGTATTACTCAGCGGCTTCTATCCCCACAGCTCCGTCGAACCACTGCCTACTCGATTCCTCCCCTCTCGAATCGCGACATTACCGTTACCGCTGAGAGAAAGTTGCGTAACGTCCTCTGTGAAAATGATTTATTCAGAAACGCGCGGACGTATTCCTCTAGACGGAGCGGCGAGAGTGCCTAATGGAGATTCGCGTCGCGGGAGTGCATTAAACTTTTTTATGAGATCGTACGTGGCTGGCGAGATTTTTCTCCGCATCAGCGTTAAAAAAAACAAAGAACACAGCTCGTTACTTCGTTAAATCCGTTGCAGTTTATTAATGAAAATATGTAAATATAAAGCACGATATATGAATGCTTGAAAGGAATATAATTTCGCTGAATGCAGATTTTGATTTTATAAACGTGTAAAATGTTGCGCTATTATATTTTTACACACGGCATCATTAGTGCCTTACTTTTGGTTAAACATTTTCAGATCAAATGCATTGTGTTCGGATATTCGCGTGCACAATGACTATTGTTTAAAAAATCATTTTCAGCTAGAGTTATTTAAAGAGCTCGTTAACGCTAATTAATAAATTCAAATCTGAATTCGAAGCAAAAATTTTGAATCAATTAAGTAAGTGATGGCATTAATAATTATTATAACTCTGACCCTCTATCATTATTAGTGCCATTTTGTGTTACGAATAATCGTCGCATTTCCGTGAAACATTATTCAAAACTTTCCACGGCTAGAATGTGTACGACTAACTCGTTCATAAACTATTATCGTATCTTTGTGGCATTATTCGCTAATCACAATTATAATAAATTTTAATTAGTAACTTGATATAACGGAGGCTAATTAACTCTATGATATTCAAAATTAATTAACAAAATATATTACCGTTATATACGGCTGATTAAGTTTACGACAATATCAAGGAATACCGATAACTGATAGTAGAACTCTGCAATCTCTCTTCTAAACTGTTTGGCTTCACAGATTCATTTACACATGTCTGCATATCTTCCGCGCTATTGTGTAATTAATAGAATACAATCAAATACGTGATGCACTATAAGCATATATGCAATATTGGCTTACGTATTATAATTAGCTCGTTTCTGATATGTATCTTGACTAACAGATCACCTAAACGTTGAGAAATGTAACAATGGTATCAATCTGACAGATATGTTATCGTGCATCCGAGCGAATGCCGCTAATTTCCTTTGTTTTCTGACATTTGCCGATTAAGCAACGGTAATTCCGTCAAATCCATTGTGCATCGTTCCAAGATGCGCAACCACCGCGACTCGAGGAACTAATATCTATCACGGATTAATCGGAATACATTTGCAAGAACGAGCGCGGCATTGCCGAGCGTGCAGCATTTATCAGGTCTATCGTTACTTCGCAAAATTCAAGGGAAACATATGTAGCATGTTGCGCGCGTTATGCACGCTCACGCATGCACGGTACGTATGCCTGTGCGCCCGGCAAGAACGTACAGTTGAATGGTACGTGTCTCTATCTCTCGGCGCGATTTACAGCTCGCGTTTGCGCGTTGTAACTTCGGCTACGCTAGCCGCAGGGTTTGTACACGTCGTTAGCCTCGTTTAAGATAGAAATTTTGGAATGGGATGGCAGATTGGAATTTCAAGCTGGTACGCGACTGAAAAGGCGACGACGGCGGGGGAGATGATGATGCGTCAAAGGAGAGAAGAGAGAACACGTGGCGATGCGAGCGAACTTTCAGCGGACTGTATTAGCGAAATATTCTACATTAAGGATGTGTAATTTCTACCGTTCGTTCTAGGACCAATGTGGCGTAATACATATAACAAGCTGCACGTAGAGCACAAAGAGAACGACCGACAGAAGCGCGAGGTATGCCAGTTATGAAGATGATGAATGGTATACTGCATAGGGAAGTCCTGCCTGTAAGGACCCTCCGTCTGAAAGAGGCGCTCTCTCTTACTTCTTAAATGTTATTACGCGGTACTACACGCTCGGTGAATGTTGGAATGAAATGTTCGCTCACATTTATCAGTGTGATTCCTTCATGATAAATGGAATATTAGTTTGCAGCAAATAATACGCGTAATTAGATAAATCCTTCATATTATATCCGATAATGTTCCAAACTTATTAATGCTATGTTAAGCGTATTAATTTAATCTATAAATGCTAACTAAATTGAACTTTGAGTCAAGGCAATTATTGATAGCTCCATTTATTTTGGCATTATACTATTAATATTATAAGTCAAAGCGCAATTATTCAGGTTAAATTAGTGAAGCAAAATTAAAATTAATAAAGGTATTGCGCAAATTTAAACTCAATAGCGTAAACGTATTTTTCCGTTTTTTATCACGGCTAGATGTAACGAAGATACTTACGAAAGTTGTAAACATGTAGTGGTATCTGTAGTCGTTCATTTGCAGCTGTAATATCTGTAACATAAATCGAAAGAGAATATTAAAAATATTGATGTTTGACAAAAAGATTTAACCGACAATTAATTATTAAAATTATTCACTTTTACAATTTTGTTCCATCGATATTATGGCAAGTCGCGCGATTCGTTACTGGATATGCCAATATGTAAACAATACGGTTTTACGATTGATAATATTTGTTTGATACATAGACGCGTATACCGCGCTTTGTGCGAATTTCGTATATCTTGCTGCATGGTCATTTACAAGACAAATATAACATCGTGCATCGCTATTCCGCTGTCAAGGATATCGATATTGCATCCTTTGTGGTCCGATATAATTCGTCGCTTTTCATTTCCCGTGGTAAGCCACGGCTATACGCGCAGATCGATCGAGCTGCAACCTCGAGATGGAAGAAAGTCAGATAAAAGGCGTCTCGCGTGGATCTTCCCTCGTGGAAGAATCTCCGCCGGAAAGGCGAAATGGACGGGACGGGCGTGCGACGTTAAAAGGATATAGGAGAAGCGTTGCATAAAAGCATAGACGTTTTTTGATTACCCGACCGGTCGAGGGTTATCCTTAGAAATCCTCAAGGGGTGCAACATGCAAATAGCGAGCTTGCTTCGACCGCGTCTGAAGCAAGATTGCTTGCCGGAGTGCCGCCAACAAGGCGGGAAACGGACGAAATCTAATCCCTTTTGCTTCCGATGTATTTACGATCTTAATCCTTACATCGAAGTTTTCCGTACTTCCCGGATCCGGTCGCTTCTCTATAACGTGCAATTGTTCCACTCTTCTTTGCCTAGTATTGTAATTTTACACGAAATAAACTTTTCTCGTCCATTCTGCGCATTTTGTGAATTGCGTGGACGATATACAAGGTGACCAGTTGGAAAGGTGTCTAAAGTAACTTTGCAACAAATAGACAGAATAATATGAACTAAATGGCATTTTGTAAAGGAAATTTGTCAATTTTATTACATATAGTATACAAAAAAGTATACAATAATTAAGTAATTAAAATAAATATTAGAAAAAATGCTATCTGGGCGTTCAGTGATAAATATTTTCAAAGTGTTGTCTATTGAAATTGGCACAGAAACTCAAAAGTTTTTGAAAATTATTAAATATATTTTTTAAAATATATTTTTTGAACATAACTGGGAAAATACCCTGGATTTTCGAATACTCTTTCAGCTTATCATTGTTTTTCAATGGACAATATTTTGAAAATATTTATTACTAAGCGCCCAAACAAATTTGTAGAATTTTTTATTTTGTTTATTTTAATTATTGTATACGGCTTTCATATTATGTGAAATAAAATTAACGAGTTTTCCCTACAAAATAACGTTGAATACATTTCGTTGCAAAGTAAAAACCGTTAATTTTAGACTTTCCAATGGTCACCCTGTATAAAGGTCACCCTGTATTTAATTATTCCTAACATTATGTATTTACATGTTCACGGTGTTTACACAAAATCGCATGTAATTAAATTACATAAATTATACCGACTAACATAGTTTTACTTCGCATTTATGTCGTATAGTTCATCGACGATAAATTATTTATGTACAACCATTTCATGCTCGTTACATAAATTATGGCATGCCACTGTTTCTCACGATATCGTGTGCATTAACCGATAACCGAATTTTACCGTTTTTATCGGCAGAACTGAAAAATACATCGATAACGTGTGTTTCAATGGTGAATAATCGAGATGTGCATTTCCGGCACGTTGATCACCCGCCCGATTATGTAAATTTTTCTATTCGTCGGCCGCGCACGCAGACGTTCACAAAAGTGTCGGGAATTGTGAAAAACATCGAATGCGTTCATCATATTGAGTGAATGCGAAAAGAGCCCGCGATTTGCATGAGCTATTTTCAACATTTGTTTCGTTATCGCTGACAATTCGCGCGATTTAATTTCACGATCTGCTGATTTGTGTCCACTTTCCGCAAATGGATGGTTAAATATTCCGAAGCCGCTGTGTAGCGCTGTCATCTCGAGTGTAGCAGCCTATAATTTAAATTGTTATAGCGCCGGATATAATATGCATAAACGAATGCGATATAAAATATTGAAGTGAACAAAGACTGCGGAAATTAAAATCATTGCGTGTCGTTATCAAATTCCTATAAAGTGCAATTGAGTTTCCGCCTCAACACACACGATTTTATACATTATATGTTTATATTTCAAAACACTGTATTTACGAACAAAATTATTTCTTGGCAACTTATCATTCATCTCAGTAGTCAAGTAAATTTCTTTATGGCATTATTAATTAAGTCGCAGTCGTGATTGCATTCTCTATTTCAAACGCTGCTCAAAGGATCTTCAAAGTCTTTCTGTTCATTACTTGAAAACTTGGCGAGTAATTTAATTACAAAGAATCCGCAAAATTTAAATCTACCTTGCTTCGCAAACTGCGCGCACTGTAAAGAGCTTTCCAATCCGGTACACAATTTTTTCGGGCTACATTCGGGCCTTGCTTTCGTTATTCTCTTTTCAAACCGAGAGTTAGTTGCACACTAGAAGGCAAAACAAGCGTTGGAAGGAAAAACAGCAGCGCAGTCGCCATTAATCCTAATTGTAAGAGAGTCCTTTTAATCTCCGCGCGCCGAGTCCCGCGCATGATTCTGAAAAGTTATTTACGAGCTTTGTGCAGATTTTCCTTTCCTTTTCTTCTTATTTTAATTCGGTAAACAACTTGTTGTTTTCATTATTTCGCGTGTGCAATTGCAGGAAGTTGCTTTCCCTACGCGCATCGTTTTCGATGCGATCTAACAGATACTTTGGATGGGTATTAAGATTAAGTGTCCCGCGAGACAGAGGACGACCATTTACGATCCACGAGTGCATCGTATCGCAAACTGCATCGTATCGCTCGTGTCCGCAGCATCGACCGGCAGTTTCCCGCGCGCACTTCTCTGATTCTCTGAATAAGCGCCAGCTTTTCGTGAAAGAGCACGAAAGGATTCCTCGTTGAAGTTCTAATATTTTCTCTTTTCAATGCAAGCTTGAAATAACATTCCTCCGGCATACATTAAATCTGTTCGCTTTACCCACATTTTCCGCACTTTTCATATTTAAAAGAAAATGTATGTATGTCGACGTTTTTCGAAAGAGAAGTAAAAATAAATAAAACGTGGAAAATGCAAATAGACTTATAAGATCAGCATTGTGCGGCGGGATCTATTAACAGCAGACACTTGATATTTGCTAGCTAGTGCTCTTTGAATGAGAAATGATCAAACGCTCGAGTAACGCGGCCAGTAAATTTCAATGACCCACGTTCACACGGTCTGTTGCTCTTTTACAGTGCTTCGTATTTTATTGAAAAAATGTGACATCTATCTAGATGGAACAACTTGTCAAGTTTATCATGCGAAAGATTAACTGATGTGGAAAAAAAAACGAAATATTTGTATTGTGTTCGTGTCCGATTTTTCGAAGTGTATGTTATTTTTTATATGATGGAAGAGAAATGTGATCGATGTGTAGTCAAATTAAAAAAAAAAAAAAATATGAAAATCATGGAAATTTTTTACATGTGAAGAACGGTATGCCGAGATAAGGTATTTTCGCGGACGGTTGCAAGACGATGTGAAGTATCGAGTCGCTTAAGACTCACCGCTCGAAAGAATTGCTGCATGTGCGCCGGATCCGTGTCGACGATCAGCTTGAAGATTTCTTTGTGTCTGACCTCCCGCAGGACCTGCCTGTAAGATCTGGGACCCGCCTGACGAATGTACATTTCAGTTCTCACGGATGGCGGGGATTTCACGAGATCCTGTAGTTTGAACAGCCCTGCAAAACACAGAAGAGAGATATTTTTCGCGGCAAATTGGCCCTCTGTGTGTCGCCGGACTTCATCATCCCGTCCCTTCGTGCGTGTTATTCTTTAATCTTTTTCCCTGCAAAGTAGTCAAGGTTATGTTATGTCACGGGTATTTTTAGTTGTGGCATGTTGATCCAAATATTTATATAAACTATAAATTCTCCCATGTTATTTTTATATTACTTTTTAAACATCGTAAAAATTTTTTAGTTTAATAAAATATTTTTATTGTGTCTATAATCGATTTTATTGCTTTTTTAGTTGATTCGCTTGTTGTAACAACAATAAAAATAATAGGTTATTATTTGCAAACATATTAAACAGGTATGTGTGCAGAGAGGAATAAATGGAGCAATACAGAAAAATGATATAAATGTTCGATCGAGTGCTTTGCTTCGCGGAGATGCAATAAATAAAATAATCGATTTCTCGAAGGAAAAATCTCCGTATAATCATATAAATTTCATCGCAATTTCATCAATATTTATCAGATTCTCGTGGAAAGAAGTATCACGGATTATTTCTATATAAGTCGACGTTAAATGGATTATAAATAAAGCGGACTCGTTGTTTGTTATCTGTGATGGAAGAATGGTGTGAGAAGAAAAGGTTAATTTTATTCGCTGAGAATTCAATATGAGGAACGATTAAGGCATCAAGACCAGACTTTTTAAAACTGCTTTTACAACGTTAATGGGGTTCGTGAAGATGTCGCAAAAAGCGATTTTCATAATTCACTTTCCGTTCGATTGTTCTTCGAGTACTTCTTAAGTCGCACTCGAGATTTCCACCGCGTGCACGGAATTCGTTACATGCGGTTACGTGTGCAGTGCTCGTTTCCTTGAATTCACCAATTCGTCACTAAACTTTAATCGAGTTTACCTGATTTTTGCCTCTTCCTTTTACTTCTAATTCCTCTGGAAAGTGACGCCGAATTAATTGATATAACGATTAAATAATTTAACGCTTATAACGCTATATATATATTTAATTAAAATAAAACACTTTAATTGATTTTAACAATTTAAAGTTTTATATTGGAATTGAAGTGACACAAAACGAGAAAATAAAAGAGAGAAAGAGGAAATAAGAAATGTTATCGTCGATTAAATGCATTCGAAAGATTAAATACCGTCAATTTTCAAGCAGCGAGTCTCTTCCTGACTTCACTCAGGGATACAAATCTGAGAAAGTTGCAAGAGATTCTCAGCGTAATCTCACTTTTCCGTATTCCTGAAAGGGACTTTGCGGACACCTAGATAGGTGCCCGCCAACTTTGAGTTCGCTAATTACTCCCCCGTAACGATCGTGACGAATAGAGAGCGGCGGCAAGAAGGAGATCGATAAATAGCTAAAGGACGACGAAAAGTAAAGATAAATTTCCCAGCGCGTTAACGAGCGTAGTCTGCAAGGAGAGCCCCGTGCAAAACGTAAAATTGAAAAATGGTAAACTTTACTTCCGCAAGAAATCGAGCAATTACGGCCACTTGCATACTTTTTCTCGGTTTGTACACAAGATACCTCGGAAAACCGAGTTCTTAATTCCAATGACGGGTTCCTTGATTAAGTTGGTGTCGACTTCTCCTAGACTAGTGTCGCTTACAATGTCGCAACATCAGTTTGCATATTACAGGCAACCCGAGAAGATGAAATCCCGCAAAGTAAGTCGCTGAGATGCAAAGTAACAAAATTATTATTTATCTGCTTCCAGGCTCAGTTTGCTAAATTAAATTAATGCAAACAGCCTGGAATGAAGGAGCGAAAATATCTCAGATAATAAAGAGTTATAATGGAGGCCGAAGGTTCTAGAGTACCCTTGTACATAAAAACACCATGAGCGCCGCGCTCGGCCGAAATGTATGAAAGAGAAAGTAGAAAGATTGCGGAAAGCGTAGGATAGTCTGGTTTACAAAATTAACTCTGTAGATAGCGGTAGCTACACAGTGTTATATCTGGGAATTTATGACACACGATATAGAGAATACATAAGGCAGGAAAAATTTCAGGAAAAATATACGCTGGTCTCCCTCCTATTATTCTAAACGGTAACGTTTATACGCGAGATTTCTTGACCTCATTGCAGAGTTATAGATACAAAACAAATATAGACTCTGCGCGGAACGCTTGTTTATGCAAATATATTTTACTATGGATAACGTTCCCTCGCATATGCTCCCATTATTAATGTTGAAAAAGGAGGATCCATAAATAATTTTAAATCGCTCGGAGAAACCAACGCGGAGTGAAAACTTTAATTAATCTTAATTTAACTTTATTTTACAAACTTGTAAGGTATAAAAATTACGTGTTTTTGATATTTTATAAAGTTGTCAGAATATTATTGAGAAACTTCTAACGGAGGAGGGGGAGGGAGTATTTCTTATTTCATAGTAAGTTCAATAATTTAATTCAGCAGACGTTGAACTTTTGTTAGAAACCAGCACAAGTTTAAATAAGCAGCTGCGGTTATAGTCCATTCGAGCGGTAAAATATTAAAACATATTTTTGAGTAATATGTCCTCTGAAAATTTAATTAGTTGAAGTTAAATTGGAGTTGAAATTTAACAGTTTTATGTATCGCGCTAATGCGGAGTACGTATTTAGGTCTCGAAATCACACACGTTCGCACGTTCCGCCGTCGTTTTCAACCATTCATTATTATTTTACGGCGCTGAAAAACAAAACTTTTCACGCGCGGCAAAGTTTTAACGAACTGCGAAACTAGGCATTTCTCTGAGTATAAATAACTAAATGGCAACAAACTAGACAGGGGGCTTCCCAAATCTGCGAAGCGCCTGAGAGATTTGTTCGAAATCTCTCACTGCATTGCTCGGAGTTGCGGGATTAAATTTATTAAACAACTATCATCGGAAATGTATAAATTATTCCGCCCGTCGGGAGCTGCGAATCGTGTCACTTCCGATTGATGCCGACGTGACTTAATATTTCATGGCATTTAAGTGAGCGGTTATCTTTGCACGTTGAAGTTTTAACGAACTCGTGAAAGGCGGATTTACTCGACTGATGAATATTTAGGCGGTGCCGGGGATGTCGTGTTTCTTCGCGCTATAGTCGAGGCATTTTCAAAGCGCACGCTTTTACGGCGAGGAATTTTGAAACGTCTTGTCTCGTCCCCTCATCGTTGATTTATAGCGGGCTATAGACACGGGGATGGTCTGCGTAAAAAAGGCGCGCTCTTTCCGTTTCCTCTCGTTTTATCGCTAACGGCAACGCTCTACTTCGTGCTTCTGTTATACGCCACGTTACACCGTCCAATCAAGAGCGGCAATTTGGGAAAGATAAGGTCGGAGACTTTCCACATTTCCCTCTCGAGAAATACGAGGAAGAACCGGTCTCGCAAATGTGTGTGCCAGAAAACTGAGAATGAGACGCAAATATGTATATTCTCAAATTTATTGTTTGGAATATATGAGCGAAAAATTTATGAAAATTTTAGCAAAACAAATGTCGCATTATAAATGTTGAATAAATATAATTTTACCCGAGTAGATTGATAAGAATTTCATTTCCAATTTCTAGATTCTATTAAACCGATGTTTTGACTATCTTATTGTGGCGGACGAGTGCTCGCTTTTTCCATTAAAACGGGCAAATAAATGCAAATGCTACTTTGCAGATATATAAAGAAAAGCGCCGGTGAATTCATATACATTTTCTCTGAACGACGATAGTTAAAATTATACTAATGCGATTCCCGGAAAGAATGGAAATGGCAGGTGACTACGATGTGAATATTATACGTCAACGTCGCGTCGGAATTTCGATGAGTCGTTGCGGATGGTGCCAACCCGTCGCGGAATGGAAATTGGCGTCGAGCGGGGAAGCTACGACCACGGGGGTTAAGTCAGCGGTAAAAAGTGGGAGGAAGCGACAGAGAATGATCTCGCGCATCGCGAGTTTACATCGTCGTATATAAACGCGGTTACTTCCGCGTGCGAGTGACAGGCCGACATTTCGGACGGCGGCGTCCACTTCCGGCGCCTGATTCCGACGTTCTATTTGCATAGGAGCATATCACTGACGCCGAGGAAAAAACAGAAAAAAAGCGTCAACGGTACCGCGATGCTAACGAGATCGCCTCTTTCGCAAATATCTATGTAATTCCCGTGTGGTCGTCGTTATACAACGCCCGACGGTTGCGGTGAAACGAATTCGTGGCCGGGAAATCTTTTAGTTCGGACGTTTGTATTGTTGGCATTGTCCGCATATTCGTGCGCACGATCTATCGTGCACCGCATTCCGTGAAACCATTTATAGTGCGCTTGGGAAGATGTGTAATGAAATAATTCCACAAAGAAATCGTATTATCCAAACTCGATATACCTGTATAGATTCGTCATCAGAATAAAAGCAAAGAATGTTTCGAAAAATGATAGTATTAATGTAAAGTGTTTAGAATATTCTTTTGCTAAAAGATATATTAAACAAATGTATCGAGAAATATATCGAGAAGTATATCGAATATATACTTTGCGTACGGAATTAAAGAACTTATCGTGAGTCTTCACGAATATACGTTATCTCACTCACCGTAATCCTCTTCATAGATAATGGCCACTCTCGTCCAGTTTAGAAAAGACATGAGATCCTTGAATGCTTTGTTAAGATGATCTTGAGCGGGATATAGGTTAATGCTGAACTCCTTGAAAGTTGGCTCGAAATCGACCCGCGCTTCGAGATGAGGAACGTCCAATGCCTCACATATGCTTTGTATGTGAGCGCCTAAAAGTGGGTCGGACGGCCCGAACATGCCTTGTACTGACTTGGATAGTTGTTTGCAGGCTGCAATTAAAATTGAACAATTCAAGAAATTTAATATTTATTGTTAAAAAAGTGCAACTATACAAATTGAAGATCAAGTATTAATTTTCCGGTTTTCAAAGTCGACACACAATTTTTTCAATAAAAACTTGTACAAAAACGTTATTCTGCATTAAAGAAATTCTTTTGTTTCCGCTTGTATTATAATTTTTGCTGCATTCTTTATATTTTTTAAACGTCAATTAAAAACTTTTTTTTATAAAAAAACGTATTCTGTTTACATTTAATAATAAAGAAAAAATATTGTCAACTTGTTGCTAGTAGAAAAACCTGTTAAAAGTCAAACTTCAAAATATTTATAAATTTGCTTTACTTTTTAGATTAAAAAATTATTTTTTAATATCTACCTATCTTTCGAGTTTCGATTAAAAGCTAAAATTTCGTCATGAAAAGCGTATTATATTTAAAGATAATAAAACAAAAAAATAGTGTTTATGTACTAGTAGAAAAAGCAACAATAAGTCAGACATAAGGACAGACATAAATATCTTTCAATTTGACTTATTTTTCAGATTAAAAAACTTTATTTATGTGTATGTATGCATATCAAAGGATTAAAAGTACTTCATAAGCGCACCAATTAGAAGAATTATAGAAGTAAATAGACGAATACGGCAATAGAACTGTGAGATAAGCGAGGAAAATGTCAGTGGGGGCATAAGCGCGTGCTAAAAGCGAAGATTGGAGAACGACTGACTCTGACACTTCGATTTTATATTTCTAGATAGAGCACACTTGAAAGTTCTGTATCAGCGAAAGCTGCGGTAAATTGACGACAGAGATTCTTGCGAAAGATCGTCGCCATTGTTCTCTTCTAATTTTATATAATAAATTGCTATGTTATAAATGTCTTTATAATAATACAATTTTTCAATTTTAAAATAATCTAATGACTTTCTTTTACTTATTCAATAATGCTGATATAATAAAGAAAAACAATATAATAAAATGTTAAAACGCTTATATATTGATTATAAATTGCAAAATAAGAAAAAGATAAATTGAACAAGATATTTTTATTAACTTCAATCTTTTATGTAGTTTAATATAACTGTAAACAAAACTTTTATTTTTGTTTTTCTTATCTAATTAATGACATTTTATGATTCTTCTTTCATTGTTGGAAAAGTTTTTAAATTTTTTATATTAGATAACTTTATTATAAGAAAGTAATAATACAGTAAAATATTTCTTATGGCAGCAAAACTGAATTATTAAACTAAAACAAATCATGCTGCTTTTCCGATCAAAGGAATAAATCCAATAATTTTAATTAAATGCTTTGGAAAAGTAGATCAATGACTGTGATTAAATTTGCTCGATCATCCTGAAAATTAACTATGATATTATTGTTCGGAAATACGTTAATAATTTTCTATAATTTTATTATTTGTTTGTACAATACATTTAATATATGTATTATCTCAAATTCAAACATATTTATAAATTATAAGTTTCAAAGTGTACAATTCACGCGTTTGCCGATTTTAGATATAAAGTGTTTATTTCATGTCATAAAGGATATTATTATTTGTTATGCGTTTGTTTAGCTCAAAAGTGCCATTGTTTCGCGCTTAATTACTAGGTCGTTCGCTCGATATGTTTGATTAAATTGCCGAGATGATTTGTAAAAAAGGCGCCGGCGAGCACATCGACGAATGACACACCATTTCGTTGAACACACGTTTCATCGCCGTCAGCAGTGAAATTTCTCGTCGCGTTGCTCTGCCGTTGATTAAGTCGAAACGCTGCGCCCGACGAAAGTAAATAAGAATCGTTACCTCGTTACGATATCGCAGTTTCGTTTAACGAACCGGCGCTTATCCGTTTTGCGGTAATGAGTGCGACCGTTTTCTGCACAAAGAACCGCATCGGAACTTCGCCATGACTTTTATGAGCTCGATATAATGCACGGCGCGATCAGCTCTCGCAATTTCGCGAATTAACGCAATTAAGCTGGCGATACTGCTATATATCTCTGGCGGTTCTTGAAAATGCCCTTTCTCTTAATTGCTCCAGATGCCGCGTTAAATCAATAATCACTTCGAACAATTGGCTTCATTTGAAAATAATGGCACAAAGCACACACTTTCGTATACTGTCAATTATATTTGGAACAAAAGATACAAATATATCTCAAAGTAATGAAAAAACTTTATAATTACTTAATAATTAATTACTTAATAACTTAATAATTTCTGCACTATTATTTTTGTATTAAAAGAGTGTATATATTTTATCCGAAACATTATTTAAATTTTCTACCTATTTAAATTTTTTACCTCAAAGTTTAGTTTATAAAGTAAAATCTTTGTAAACCATTTTTGTTAGCAGAGAGTTTAATCTGATTTTACAAATTTTCAACACGTATTTACGCTAGTAAACAATGCTTTTTAAAACGCAAAAACCTAATTAATGCAAGCGCTATATTATTACGATATACTACTTACGATTATTGTTGTGCGCTGTACGTAAATAAAACGATTCGGTAAACATTCTATCTCGTTAGTTTCATCATTAAAAGTTACGTAAGCAATTCTACACTGATATACTCGCGAAACTTTATCGTACAGAGATATTGCAATCTAAGTTACCACACGAATTGAGCTGACTGCCAATGAGAAGTCATAAATCTCTTTAAAAAACCGTATCACAATATCGTTGGAAAGAGCGAGAGAGACAGATGGAGGCGGGATTGTCTGTTAGGATTTCAAGCGCGATGTACAAGCGGAGCTAGAAACGCTGAAAAATAAAATCCAGCGAAATAATCGCTTCGCCATTTGGTTAGCTGCACGCCATTTCTGGCTGTAGTTCTGGTAAACGGGACCTTCCATTAAAATGTTCCGGCTCGGTAGTCCGCGCCGTCGCTCCTTAAAGTTATCCAATCAATTTCCCCAGTTTGGGTCTCTTCCGATTTCTATCTCCCTTTGTTTTCTACTTTTGCGGTGACCCGAGTGAAATTACACCCGCCGATGCAACTTGAAACGAAATTTGCGCGAAGTCTTCTCTCCCGCTCGTGAGTCGGCGATAATTTTTTGACATGACAGAAAATTAATAAAGACCCGTGCACTTCCTATCGCGAGGTAACTTTCCTCCTTATAACGTAAGAACCTAAAACGATATTTGCTCGCATCCACGATATTAGAAGAAAATGCCTCTCGACATAAGCGAAAAATATGAATTTTCATTTTAAAGCTTCTTGCTCTTTTTTTATTAACTGTCTTTGCGTCAATTTCATGTTTCTAATAATCAAAAATTATATTAGAATAAATTAGATTTTATTGAATGCTGCTTTTCTATTAAATATATATACCTTTTTTACATTAAATGTTAAATGTTGTATTGTGACATTTTGTGACAATCAATTTTTTAATTTTGTTAAAACAATATAAACGTTGAAATCTATTTAAGTTGAAACAACAGTGATGTATCTGCTTTCTATTAATATATTTGTGTTCAATTTATTATTTCTCATATTTGTTCATTGAAGGAAGAAGGTGAACATTTGCTTTTATCTTTATTGCTTCGTAAAATACAGTAGTAATATTGTACCCCATTATAGTTGCTTTGACAATCGATTAATCACATATCTTCATCCATCAGTAATATGTCGTAATATCTCGTAATCCTTACTAGATGCACTCAGAAATTCATAGAGGATCTTCTCGAGTCGAGTGTTTCGTAGCGAATACAATTCCATGCTTTGTTCGTCGTTTTTCCGTACCGGAGAGTCGACATAACAGTGTAGAAAATAAAGAATCCTACGTATAAGTAACAATTTTCTAAAGGATAAACTTTACAGGACGAACTCGTGTTGGATGTCTGAAAGCTTTTGTAAGATGTAGCTTTTTTATATTAATGAAAGCTGTTTCGTTCGGTATGAGATCGATTACACGAAAACTACCTATTTTAGCTGCGATTCAAATATTTTATAGGGTTAAAAGCAAAGAAAAAAAAATAATACAAATTAAAATTTAAAGTAATACCTTTTCTACTTAAAAACATTCTTTGCTGAAAAACAAAAAAATTCACTGACTGAACTTTAATATTTATAAATTATTTCAAATTTGTAGGTAATTATACTGAGTTTCAAAACTAAAATTTTGCACAAAATAATCTAGACACATTAGATAAAAATAATGCAATGGCGCGAGAACTAAGTGCGACTATTTTTATGGAATATATGATTACGGTATATTAGGCGCGGTGCGAGTCAGCCGAATTCGCGCACACGCAACATTAAACTCGCGCACTCACCGCGCCGGAGATCCCGCGGGATGGTAAAATGTGTACAGGCAACCCATTCTGGACAGCACACGAGAGATTTATCGCGGGGGTGAGTAAGTGTGTAAAAGAAAAGTTGGCAAAGTTACGCCTCCGTTCGACACGGTTCAGCCCAGCCTGCGGTGAAAGAAACGCGACGACGGTCGGAATAATCTTTTCAGCCGTGGTTCGTATGATTTTAAACGCGCCGTAGAGGAAAAATGCGTGCGTCACGCACAATGGGATTCTATAGGCATATTTATGGCCGAATGTTTCCCTCTTAGGAAGAGGGCCGAATGTTTCCCTCTTAAGAAGAGGGTATAAATGGCCATACAATTTCCCAATGTTTGCCCGTGCTGATATCGAGACGAAAATATCTGTGCTGTTAATATATCATATCTCTCTGATTTTTTCAGACAAAAAGTGAATTAATTTTTAATAGAATTTTATGCAAGTTATATTTGTACCAATAATACCAATAATTTATTGGTTAAATACTAATATAACTTGCATAAAATTCTATTAAAAATTAATTTACCATTCGTCTAAAAATGTTAGAGATATACTAATAAATAAATGTAATTATATAAATGCTAACATTTGTTTATTATATATTTTTATATTTATTTCAAATGTGTCCGTTGTTATGGTTTAATTCCCGCAAAGTTATGGCCATTTACTGTGCTATGCCATAAAAAATGAGATGAAAAGATTTTCAAGGTATATTTTATAAAATAGTAAACTTGGAATTCACGGCATAAACACAGTTCATCGTCGTGACCTCTTTTATCTTGCTGGTTTACCGGGCTAAGAACCTTTGTCATGCTTCAAGAAGAAAATTTTATGCGCTTGGTGGATAGTTATATGATTTAATGCTTGACTGTAATCGTTGTGCCACATTCATAAGCTCCATTGTACAAACCAGAGGTTCTCTGGCTTTCCAGCTCACAGAGATTTCTCCGCATGAATGAAATTTTGCCTTACTACATATTGATTTTATTCATCCTCGTCAATCATTTCAAGAAATTTGACTTTATCAAGATGTGCTATATTTCTTCCCGGCAATAAGAACCGGTCTTTTTTTTTATCCACAAGTCGACGAAAGACAGCTTGAGGGCCATTGGTGCAAAGCAAACATTTGAAATCTCTATGATGCAATGTAGAATTTTGTAAGAAAATACATTCCGAAGAGAGACATAACTCTGTGGTAAATTCATAACTGGTTGAGCTCGTTGCTCGAGATTTATCTTTCGCGCAATCGCGCGAGAGACATTGTTATGGTTTCAGCTCTCGCAGTCGATCCGGTTCCGTGTTATTTTACATAAATCTCAAGCTACACCCTGTCGCGTGCGACGTCCTCGCGCTGTAATTCACGCTATAGCTGGCCGCTAACTGAATTGCTTTCGCCAGGCTTCCTGCCAACTTTTAAAGCTTTGCGTGTCAAAGACGCTCCAATGACAGGAAGTCCATGTCAAACTGCCAGATCTTCTGATCACGTCGAAATGAAGATTACTTAATTGATTAATTAATTGGTTTTGGATAGTATTAAGTTATTATCCCTGAGCTTAGACGAAGTTGATTTATATTGCTGCATAAATAATAATTGTATAAGTAAAATAAATCCATATTCATATCTCATACTTCGTACATGTAAAATATAAATTTAAAGGATTAATCAAAAGAAAAATCAACGAACAATATTTGTGGATAAGTATGAATTTATCTATATGCAGTTTGTAATTAAAGATATGATCAATTTCAAACAATTTATTGATTCAATTATTGTTTCCTTTTCTAGAATTTCCTGCTAGCGTAATAATATGTCTATTGTATATAATAATTATGTCGCTTGTAAAAATACACAAAATAGATTAAAAACATATAAAAATTTGACAAAAAGTTGCAAAAAGGATAAAGATTTTGTGTGCAGTTATATGATATTCTTGCTATCTGACAAAAGTTCATTCAGCTACCATTTTATTCATATTTTTAATTTCGTACGTGCAGCACGTTTTCAATTTTCGAGTGTCAGTCAGACTTTTCGTTCAGGATGATCCGTGTTTATACCTTCGAATGTCCAATATATGAACAATGTGACACAATTATTTAAAAAGGAGCATGGTTTTTTTTTAAGTGGATATGACGCAATTAAACCGTGTCAGAATATCAATCATAAGCTTTCAAATCTGCAGGATATGTCGCGCAAAATGCACTTTATGTTAATAGGAAAATAGTACACGAGTGTGACTGAAAAGAATCGCAATTGAAAAACACGTTCAATATTAAAGTTAGGTAGAACATTTTAAAGTTGACCTTTTACGATGTACCATTTTGGTGCACTAGTGATGTTATCTGAATAATATGTTCTGCATATGTATATATTTGATTGACCAATCAATAGAATGTGACCAATCAATAGAATATTTATATCTTTGAATATGAAAAAGATAAAATCGCATTATTGATTATCTTTAATTGTCTCGCGTTAAAAATTATTGACAGCTTCTTTCTCTACATTATGCAAATTAATTTAAAGAATTTATATTATATTAATTGGATTTTTAGCGCAGTGTTTATTGTATTATTTATAAAAGAAATAGAATGATAGAAAGATGGATATAAGTAATTAGTAGATTTCAATATTGCAAAGCTGTCATATATATGCTTGAAAAATAAATAACGCTGTAATTATCAACTGTTATATATGAGGTATTATCAGTCACTGTCACTGACTTCTAAACATCATGATGCATCTTGTACACACAAGTAATAAATAGCATCTTAACGCTATAACAAGTTAACAGGTATCTCTGTTATTTCACAATTGTCTTTTCTACAATAACTTTTAATTTTGTGTGCTTTTTATTTTAAACGTACTGAATTATATTATACATACATGTAATATATTGTACGTACTGAATTATATTATAAGTTTTATCACTTATTCAAAAAACAGCTTAAGAAATGATAATCTCAGAATGTAAAACAACTTAATTTTTGTTAGACAGTAAACTCGTGTCTTATTTATATATTGAGATTTGTCGAAATATTTTCGTATAGAAATTACGTTGCAATGATATAAGAGATAACCGTCAACATATATTTTTATCTTAATTATTTCAAAATTAGAGAGTATTATTTTACGTTGTTTATTTTCTTACCTTTTTTGGACGTGCGAAACGAGTCGTCTTTAGGCACATATTGAACATCGTAAACCAGTGTCGTATTCGCCAACAGAGTCCTATCCTTATTGATCTTGTAAATGGCGTACTTAAACGCCAACTCCGACGGACTGTTTTTTTGATCTTCGGTGAAGATTGCTCCTGTAACAATTTGAATAAATATTCTCTTTAGACTAAAGTTTTTTATCTTACATCCGAAACTCTGCAGCGTTACAATATTCATGAATTATTAATGTACTATCTAAGTAACTATGCTGATAAAATGTTATTTAAAAAAAATGCAGATACATAAAAAATATGCTTTTTAGAAAATATGTATATATAAATACACACAATATATTTAAAACGCCGTCTACGATAAAATACAAAGAAATTAATAAAATTTATTCGAAATATGTACTTTTCATAAAAGATGAGTAAGAATGTTGTAATTAATTTATTAATTTCATATAATTTATATGTCTGCTTTTATAAAAATTCCGCTGAAAGGAAATAAAATTGATCAAAGCGATTCTGTTCATAATTCAATTCTTCTACAAAGAGATCCTTTATCTTGCGACTTTTAATAGCCGAATAGCAAATTTTAGTACGTTCATTAATTGCCCGCCATTTTGCCGGCGATGGCGTAAGTACGGAATTTTATTTCAGAATTACATTATATACTTGAATTGCGAGCAGAGAGTTCCCCGGGGAAGCGCGTCCACACCAGAAGCGGGATGGAGTTGATAACGCGGACGAATCCGAAAAGAAAATTCCGGCGTCGCTAAAAGAAACTGAATTCATTGAAAGTTATAACTGAGTTCGTGAACTTGCAATAACGATCTCGTCCGTATCTGTCGTACATATCTACATACATATACAACGGTAAAGTACCGCGCGATTCTCTCCTAAATTTAATTAATGACTTCACCACGGCGCAGCTCACTTCGAACGCGAGTTTTAATTAAATTCGAATAATTACCGCGGCCAAAACCATGCTCATGGTATCAGAAAGTACTACAGCGGAAACGTTCTCGTAAATTAAACGTTGACTCTGTGTCAGAAATAATCAACTTTAAGATATGTGTAGATAATCAATAAAAATTAATCATTGAAAAAAATAATTCATAATTAAGACAAGGATTAAGAATGAATTATTTTTTTAGTTAATACATATATTTTAAGCATTGTTTTAACCAAATTTCAATATAAAAAACATAGAAAACATACGGTTGTTACCGGTTTATACAAATATAATTCGAGAGACAGGATGGATTTCAATCAACAACACAAACAAATAAAAAATATTTTTAATCACTATTTTTATTCGGCAGATAGTATGCCGCTGGCAAAATTGTGCTTGCTTTTTGTTGTTTTCAAAAAACGACTGAACTTGTACCTAAATATCACTTAATACAAGGTGGATCTAACAATTGAACATTTTTTTACTTCCGTCGATGCATCTGTAGATTCGAACATTAGTTTAAGCGCTGCCGCTGCCGATGCAAAGTAATATATATTTTCATAAAAATATACGAGAAGTAAAATGGAGCTCAATAATTGACTGCGCTTTAATTTGCATTCTTCATTGTCGTTCATTAGCTTCTACTAAATTTCGAAAATGCAAATGCCTCGCCGTTTAAAAGCGGCTTAAATAAAGGTACTTGACTGCTCGGGAATTGCTTAACATAAACTCGCTTTGCCATTTCACTTTTTTTTACATCGTAATCGTTTTCATGACTTCGGTAATTAACTTTATTTCTAAAACTTTCTCCTTTTTGCCTTATACTTGAATCCATCGAATAAAACGTTTCTCAAAATGATACATTTTTCTACATCAACGGGTAAGGCTTTATTGCGACTAATCCATCTCGAAGTAATCCAACCGTTAATCTCTCAGAACGGTCTTTACTCGGTAACTTCAATTTTCCGGCTTTATCTCGCAGCGCGTGGTTGCCGCAGCCTTTGAGTTTTTACGCAAGCAGTCATTTCTTGTTCCAAAGGGGGCAGATGTTCTCTTTTTATAAAAAAACAGGATGGCCAATTATATTGAGAGAATTAAAGACTCTAAAAGTACATATTTATTTCTTGGATAAATTAATATTTAAATTGCTAAAAATAAAAATAATTCTAGAAGATATAATTAAATTGTATTATATTAAATTGTAAAAATAAATCAAAGCCGATTCTGACATTTACATAGCATTTCAATGAATAGAGCACTACTTAAAAAAAATTGTAAATCTCATTAATTTCACATTAATTTTAAAAATAAAATTTTTATATGTAATATAAAAATACGAAAAAAATCGTATAAAAGAAAATTTATGCAATAGTAAAAATGGTTTATTCTTTTAAAATATTTCAAAAATAGTAGCGTTGCTGAGTTAAATTTTATATGTATAAACATATGTATTTTACAATCATATTCATATACAGAATTTAATCTTTTTTTAAAATGTTTTTACGTTTTGACGTGATCATAAGTGATTCGAAGCAGACAATCAAAAAGATTCAATTACATTGGTAATTTTTATGTTTTAAAAAGATTATACTGAGTTTGATAGCAGCGCGGAAAGTTTTGGATGCTGTTATGTTTTTAAATATTTATAAAAGTTCCAATCGTGTTGCAGATGTTATCGAGTTTACTTAGAGTACACTCGATCCCATTCATTAGTGAATTCGTCGGAATAACCTGGGTAATCGTCGATATTGAGTTGCAGTCAAACGATTAGATTGACGGAGTTCGGAGTTGTCACAGTGACAAATGCTAAATCGATATTACTCATTTAAAATTGTGCAAAATTAACGATCAAATTTTAAATTCAATAATTTGTTTTAGTTAATTCAATAAAAACGTTACGTTATTATGCAGTAACGTAATCTTAGGTTAATTGTTTCGATCAGTAGTTCTCGCTTCCAGTTATGTGAGAGTACTTCTAATTATTTCTCTCGTCTCATTAAACTTCGCAATAAAGCAAATACAATGTTGCTTTGTGAAGTCCCTAACGTCGTCTTATATGCATCAAAATATTATTCGATAATATGAGAAGATTGTATTTAATCATAATTTACTCGTAGACTCGAAGATTTATCTTCGTCACGCTCAGAATTCCCTGAGGAATGAAAACCTTTCTGCGTCGAATCAATCTTTGTCGCTCACCTGAAAGAAAGTCAGCGATAATTACAATGGAGCCAATTAATTGTTTTTGACCCGTGTTCATTGGCAGTAATGTGTTCAATGTTCCTTCAATGGATATTACGTTGCACAAATTGTTATAATAATAATCGCCGATCTTTGTACATTTCCTTTTAATTGGTTTGGTTTCAATTAAGTCTTATCTTTATTCTTAAAATTTTATATTAGTAATTTTTATAATTAGTTACTTTGCTAATTGTCTCCCACGGAGATAATATGCACCACCGCATTAATCAATAACATTAATCTATAATGCAGTAAATTTTCTCTCGCTTGTTGTTTCAAGCGTCGAATCCAGCAATTGTTAATATTGTCGCTTGAATAATATTTGACAGAAGTTCATAGCATTGCATATATTTAGCATACAGCTATGCAGAGAACACATTAATGTTGCAATATCTGGATTTAACCGCATTACAACAATTGTGTACGCTCTATGGTAAAGCTTCAGTGTCCTCTCGGGTGTTGCAAGAATAGACTTAGTGTTTTGATGACAGTACCATTACTAGAAACGATCAGCACGAATAGCTCCCTTGAAAATCGTTTTGTCTCCTTCTGTATCAAATACACATTTCTTTCTCGTACGTCGTGCCAATCGCCGTTCAAACTCGTATTAGGAGCGATTTGAAAGAAGCAAAAATAGCTACGGAGAACATCGATTATATTGATATTTCTGTGAGTTGGTAAAGATTCTCAAGCACAGATTCTGGAGTTCAATGCGCACATGCGAAGAAATCATATATACATATGTATATTGAATTTTCCAGTTAAACATTTTTCATTTTGGTAAATCGAAGTATTATGATTGAAGTGTTGCAATAAAAACACAAAATATTGAATTTTACATAGAATTTTGATATAATATTTTTTGTATTATATTATTAATTTTGTATATAAAAATATGAAAAAAGCCGTAAATTAAATGTCAAATGTTATATGTCATATGTTAAGCAAAGGTTAAATATTATAACAAAGAGTATTTAAAAATAATAATAAATAAGTATTCGTGTATATAAAATAATAACAAACATCTGTTATAACTTTTATGATATAAACATGCATCGGTAATTTTTTAAATAATTATATTTAAAAATTATTAAATTGTGGTAAAACTTCAATATATATTTTTTCTGTCAAATTTTGTTTATAAATTTAATTAATTAATTAAATTAAAGAATATTTAAATTAAAACATACTTATACTATAATTGTAATAGCAGTTTAAAAATAAATAGTATAATAATATTGTATTTTCTAAAAAATTATCCGCAATGCCACGTTTTCTTCATAAACTCCCACTTGCATATTTTATAAATCGCTGCCAGCGAGCTCACCATGAAGCTTTCCCTCAGAGAGGTATAAGCGCCAACTTTCATTGAAATAGAACGCATTGCGACTTGAGGCAAGAAAAATCTTGAATATCATACGTTTTCATTCCAATGCTCATTGAGAGGACGATGAATCCTCAGAGACTATAGACGTTGTAAATTGACAGACTCTATACCTTTCCATTACGGAAGAGCACAAATGTAACAGTGGTCGTGAGCAAACTTTCACGCAAATAAAGCTAAAAATATTCACAAAATTACGAGAGTGAAACAAAAAGTTTCCACAAAATTGTTACTAAAAAATAAGTATTTATTATAAAAACTCAAATAATAGCTCATATCTAAACTTTAAGATACGAAGCGTAATAGAGTAACTTCAAGACAAAAAATTTCTTTCTTGAAAGATAAAAAAACTGGCAAATTGTTAAAAAAATGTGTTTAAAAGCATTATTATTGTGTAGCAAATATAAATATATAACTGTTTCGTCGGCAATAAAAGACGCCTACCTATTGATTAGCCAACTGACCTGCGAGTTTGCAAGGCTTCAATAGATGATTGATCCATTAGATAATTCATAGTGATCGGTAAAAGTATTCTTCACCATTTCAGCGCATAAAATTATACAAAATTTAATT